TCATTGTTGTACCTGTCCCTGGTGCTGATTGTTCATTAGCTTATCTGCATCTACTTGTACCTTTCCCTAAGTCCTAAGAGTTACAGCAAAGTTTGTCAATTTCAGGGAGCAACGGTGCAGACTTCATGTTTCTCCTGAAGGGCCACGAGGACCTCCGGCAGGATGAGCGGGTAATGCAGCTGTTTGGACTGGTCAACACTCTGCTGGCCAAGGACCCTGAGACCATGAGAAGACACCTCAGGTGAATAAATACTTAAACTGCATGTCAAACCTTAATGCTGCAAAAAGCTGTACATATGTTGATGGACTTTTTCAGGCCTTTCTGTGAGGAAAAACTTTGTGTGAAACATTTAGGGTGTTTGTTGTTTTTCATCATTGTGTGCATAATGAGCACTAACATATTGAATATATTAGATAAATTGCTATAGTTAACAGTCACTGCTTTAGAATTTTTCTCCACTTTTTAGATGAAAATTGTATGAGAAGACAGCTAGATATTCATGTGTGTTTCCATCCCACAGTATCCAGAGGTACTCAGTGATCCCCCTGTCCACTAACTCTGGGCTGATCGGCTGGGTTCCCCACTCTGACACTCTCCACACCCTCATCAGGGACTACAGGGAGAAGAAGAAAATCCTGCTCAACATCGAACACAGGATCATGCTCAGGGTCAGTTGTCCTTTGCTTATTTCAATTTTTCTTCAAGATATTATTACCTGCTACCATATGTGACATGCTTTTCTTCTACATAGAGATAAGATGATGGTATAAACAACTCACTCACTTTCGCTCCATGGAGTGTCGCGCCTCTCCAAGTTGTCTTCCAGATGATTCTAACATAATTCTTAAACTTGCTAACTCATCTAAACTACATACATGAACTTATATGTTTATAATCACGAAGCAATCATTATGGGACTCTCTACTTATGCTGATTAAGTAAGTTTATAGTTTTTTGTGTGTGTTTTTGTTTAACATTGTTCACTTTCCACTTTTTGACTCTTTAGATGGCTCCTGACTATGATCACCTGACCCTGATGCAGAAGGTGGAAGTGTTTGAACATGCCATCAACAACACAGCAGGGGACGACCTGGCCAAGATCCTCTGGTACAAGAGCCCCAGCTCTGAGGTTAGTCCTTCTCTAGTTGTAGCACAATTTTCTTAAGATTATACTGTACATGTAGAAAATTGTAGTCTTGCTTTCATGTAGATGTATTAACTTGATAATATGATTGTTCTGTCTGTACTTCAGGTGTGGTTTGACAGGAGAACTAACTACACCCGTTCTCTGGCTGTCATGTCCATGGTTGGCTACATCCTGGGTCTGGGAGACAGGTAAGATATGCCCTCACCCATCATATAAAGCCCTGCAACAAAAGGACTACTGACAATGTAGACATGCCATACTCTTGCAAGTGGCTGTCAACACACCCACGTGCACATTGCTAGTGACCGAGTCTTACCAAAATTACTGGTATATTATATGGCGCTTAATGGTTCTAGATTTTTTCATAATGCCATAAATTGGTTGCATTCTGAATGACAGAAGCTTTAATGTGCCTGTAAATCAAAGTATACAAGAATTGCTTATTGTTTGTCTAGTAATAATCAAAGTTGAAGTAACAACTGAGAACTGAGTTACATTAAAGTTTGCTTACCTTGAATGTACTTCCAGGCACCCTTCTAACCTGATGTTGGACCGACTGTCCGGTAAGATCCTGCACATTGACTTTGGAGACTGTTTTGAGGTCGCCATGACCAGGGAGAAGTTTCCAGAGAAAATCCCCTTCCGTCTCACCAGGATGCTGACCAATGCCATGGAGGTGGGTACTAACCTGTTTACCTCCCACTGATATACCTCTCTGATTTGCTATTGCTGGATAATTACTTAAAGAATGCTTCTCATCTATTGTGACATCTGTCCTTGGTGCTGATTTACCAATTGGCAAAGCTTTCTTGGAAGCTTCTTTGCAATAGCTATATCTGTCCTTGGTGCTGACCGGTCATTTGCATACATACTGTAGCTATTGGTTTGCCATTGTTGTATCTGTCCTTGGTGCTGATTGGTCATTTTCATACATGTTGTAGCTATTGGTTGGCCATTGTCATATCTGTTCTTGATGCTGATTGGTCATTTGCATACATATTGTAGCTGTTGGTTGGCCATTGTTGTATCTGTCCTTGGTGCTGATTGGTCATTTGCATACATATTGTAGCTATTGGTTGGCCATTGTTGTATCTGTCCTTGGTGCTGATTGGTCATTTGCATACACATTGTAGCTGTTGGTTGGCCATTGTTGTATCTGTCCTTGGTGCTGATTGGTCATTTCCATACATGTACATATTGTAGCTATTTGTTGGCCATTGTTGTATCTGTCCTTGGTGCTGATTAGTCAATGCCGCACATATTGTTTGCCATGGAGGTCAGTACTAGCCTCTACTACTACTAGGTCAACATTTAACTCTTTATCAGTCCCCAGCTCACAACTACGACTTGTATACTTTTGTAATGGGACCACCTGCCTATCAAATCCACTTTTTTGCCAGTCTATTTGATTTTTCCATCCACTTACCTCCTTTCATACAATAGTCACATTTGTGCCTGGAGTGGTAAGTGTGTGCATTCAAGTATGACAGAATGTGTAAAATCATTAATCTCATATATCACTGTATATGTCTTAATTGAAAGAGGTGCAAGGGACATCGGCTGCACATGACTGAAAGAATTAATTTCTTTGCTCTGTTAGATCTCTCACCAATCTGTACTGGTGCACATACCCACTGTGGGATAATTCTGTGATGTGTGGTATCAGAATCAATACAAGTTGTGTTGTTGCACATGCTGAGTGTGTGTCTGTTTCTGATGGTTCTGTCTGTCCCCCAGGTGACAGGGATTGATGGGAACTACCGCATCACGTGTGAGAAGGTGATGCGTGTGCTGCGAGACAACAAGGACTCTGTCATGGCCGTGCTGGAGGCCTTCGTGTACGACCCTCTGCTGAACTGGAGACTGGTGGACAGTACGTGCAGTCTTTCATCACCTTTTTGTTCTGCACCTTTTGAAATATTTTGTGTTTACCATGGATATGCAATAGACAAACAATATCTGAATCTGTGCAAATAGTGAAAAATGTAGCAGTATAATATATTATCATAAAAATTTCACTGACCCATGACAAACTGTGTTAATCTGTTCCCTCTTTGCTTCCAGCTGCCCCCAAAGGCAAGAGATCTAAGACTAGGACAGAGTCTTACTCGGCCAGCCAGTCAGGAGCAGGTAAGAATGGTGTTTTAAGTTTAATACTCTAAGTTCTCATACATGTTTATAACCTTTGAATGTACAAATGTGTGTCTTAAGATGTTTTCTCAAGAAACTAGGTTGCTCCGTGTTGTGCACTAAAACTAAAAATTTTCCACTAAATCAGATGCCCTTGAGGAGATTGGCCAGGCCACTCAGAGGAACAAGGGCCTGCCTGAGTCTGTGCAGGCTTCATGGGGTAAGTACATGTACATGTTACAGTACTTCTTACTACTGTAGCTTTCTTTTTATGGGTGTCACACACTTCACTCAATATACTTGTTTCTGTTCTACATGTACTTCTTTTTCTATGTAAAGATTTAATCTAGTTGAATATTGTGTTTATGTTTATGATAGATTTGGGATGTATACATGTTATTGGAAAAAGACACACCCTTGCCTAACATTACTGCATGTTGCAATAGATGACAGTGAGGGCCCCAAACCAGAGGCTTTGAACAAGAAGGCAGTGCAAATCATCAGCAGAGTCAGGGACAAGCTGACAGGTAAGGCTGAACTTATTATGGAATATGTTTTTTTATCAATTAAAATATACTTGTACAGTTTTTTTATTATGATTGCTAAGGTTTAACTTTGATCTTTAACCTTTCACCTTTGGTCCCCAGGTCATGACTTCAACAAGGATGAGTCGCTGGAAGTGCCTACTCAGGTGGAGCTCCTGATTGGTCAGGCTACGTCACATGAGAACCTGTGTCAGTGCTACATAGGATGGTAAGTTAGCTCTGATTGGTCAGGCTACTCTAAGTAAGAGCTGATACTAGTATATGATATGAAGACATTTTTCTATATGACATTTTACTTTGTATTTGTAAATGCTATGACTTTTCACTAAGATAAACTCTAGAAATCAAGTATTGAGGGTAGTGATTTGAAACATTTGCATGAGTGCTAGTTTTTTTCTTGATGCTATGTGATATATTTCTAGTTATGCAATGTTACACATTTATGCCAGCTTTATGGCTACCTTGAAAACAGTGTCTAACAGTTGGAATGTTTTTGAATTCCAGGTGTCCTTTCTGGTGATGTTGGACATTTGATATCCCTTTGATAACTTCAGACCTGCCACTTCAGTGACTACATCTGAAGTGTCTGTAATAGTCAGGCTGGAAGCTGTTATGTAATGTCGTAAAGAATCATTGCGATATACAGTTGCAATTGTAATAATGATCATGTATGTGGGCTTATAGCAGGATCGGTTGATTACACACAGAAGCCGTGGATATAGGTTTCTGTTTCTTATAGCTGGATGTTGTCAGAGGGGAAGTTGTGTTTGTAGATGGTCTAATCTTATGATTAATCATGAAACAAAATGTGGAAGTGTACATACCTTATAAAAACATAATCAATTAATATCAACAACCCAATAAAAGCCAGAAATTCACAGTTGTGTTGTCTTTATTCCAAAACATTTTGTGCTTCATACTTCCAGCTTCAATCACAACATACGTGGTATACAGTATTTCTTTTAATACCTCAAAATTGTTGTACATGTATAAAAGATTTTTGAAGTTTTAATTCTCTGCTGCAACAACAAAGACCCTTAAAATCTCTTTTTTCATTCTTAACACAATTTAAAAATTTTCAAGCAAGATCATAAAATCTTTTTGTCATATTGAAACTTGGATTTGCATAATTTATAATTTTAGAAGAATATGACTGTACATTTTGTTTATTCCATAATTTGTATAACATACACACAAACTTGTAGTGTTCTAATGTATTATGTGTTTGCTTTAACCCCATGTTTTTCAAGACCTCATTTCGTAGGCTACTGCATGCCTTAACAATTGTGAAAGAAAATGGGCTGCTATAGATCAAACATAGTATAAAGGATTTTTGATATCTGGGCGTTTTCTACCCTTTTCTTTCAACAACGACTGCTGTATGGCACAAAGACATAGAAGATAGCACCTCATTTGAACAACCAAGTCAATGCTCACATTCGCCTTTCCATAGCTTTTTCTCGGTTCAACAATACGAAATCCAATACATGTACATACCATGTAAGTCTTGGCATGCAACTCACATGTATTCCAACATCATGATATGGCTACTATTTTACTAAGTTTCTATTAAAAAACACAACACTCTCTCCATCTTATGAAATACTAAAATATAATCTATGTAATACTTTGCTATTCTGTTACATGCTGCAAAGAGTCAAAATGTACTTCATATGAATAGTTGTTGCTTTTGTGCAATCCGTACAAAGACTTGTAGCTGGCACACAAAGCCATACAGCTTTGGGTTACGCCATCAGACATAATACAGCACACAGCCGTGATCCTCGCACGTCTTTGCAGGCCCTCCGTGACACTGGTACACCACGTCCTTGGAGTTGGTGGTGTGTTTGCCGGAGAAGCACAGCCCCGTCATGTAGGAGTTCACCCCCTCCTGGTAAAACGTCATGTTGGTCAGCCGGAACGTTGTCGAGCACGCGCGGCATTTGAAGGTCGTGCTGGTCGAGTGTTCCTTCTTTTTGACTACACAGTTGTTCGGGTGGCTCAGGGCACAGCGTTCCGAGTCAAATCTTGAATGAAACAAAACATTTACCTTATTACTTTGGCTATATTGTATTGAAAACCATGTACAACTCAGTGGCGTCGTCTTTTAAATAAACTGGGGTGTTTCTAAGAACTTTAACCACGCCAAAAGTAAAGAAAAACGGATGTGTCAAACTGCAAAGATGTGTTCTATCACTAGGCAAAATTACGTCATATAAGCACCTATTGTTTAATTACAACTATCACAAACAGAACAGAGAAACCATTACGAGACAGACGGTTGCTTGTTCTAGAATAACAAAAACGCTTTGGAACAGCAACACCTAGCTCCTAGTAACAAACATTGCCATATCTTCTCTGGAGCTTTACATCGAATTTCAAGATAGTTTCAATGGACCTCAAGGTAAGCAACTACTTCACAAATGCCCACCATTCCTCACGCGAGTGCACGCTGTACAATGCTGATGTTTTTACGATGTAAAAAAATGAACATGCTTCTCTCATCAGTTCTGCGTGAACTTCCGTCAATATTTCATAACCTGCTGCAAATATTCCCTTTAATAGCAGCCATAAATTTGTCCCATTGCAACAGAGCTCATCCGTAACAATGGAGGTCGTAAATATAACGCAATAAATCTCCACCTTGGCAATGGAAGATCAAAGACCGTGGTTCTGAGTGACTGCGATAATACATTTTTAACCAGATCATCATTAGACCCTTTCCCCCAAGGACTAGAAATGCAATCGCCATATCTAGGTATACCTATAGCACTTCTCAGTGCAAGCCTGGACCATGTCTAGCTACCTTCTTTTTTTTAACTTTCGAATTCTTAGATTAACAGTCCATGGAAAATGAAATGACTAATACGCGATCGTTCCAAATACCAAGGAAGGTGCAATTCGCAATGGATATTTCTCACCAATGAGACGACAGCAGCGAATGCCAGGACATCATACCCGAAACATCAAAACAAGCTTGAAACGCCACAGCGGCGCACTTTTCTTGAATACAACTCGTTACTTAATTTAGGAATGAATAGTTTATGAGTGTGGAGAGCTACACGGACATTACTAACAGCCCCATCCATTCTTCATGCCCCGATTGTGTCCGATGTTTGACGGGAAGATAGGAGTGATTGACAGCAGCCTTGTCATCCCACACACGCACTGACACTAACCAGCGATTCTACCCAAGGCTATTTTGTCAAAGAAGCACTGCAACTACAAGGAACGAAGCTAATAATTCACAATTGTTGTCATTATAGTGAGCTTTAGTGGAGCACTAAATTTGGTAGCTAGCGCTGTTGAATATCAATGTCCTTATTCCTAAATACAGTATACATGTTATATATATTATCATGAAATCTGATATCACTGATCACAATGTTCAGCTACAATTGTGAATGTGTGAATAGGGATGGAGTTCTACACACACACATATAACTGTAACCAACACGTAACCTTGGTTATTACATAGCTGCCATGCTTATTCTTTGTTTGCTCTTACCTGGGGTTGTAGTTCTTGTGACACCTGACACAGTGGAGCTGGGAGGCTGGCGGATGTCTGTGTCGGGGCAGAAGCAGGCTCATCGCCATGATCAGTTTGGCGTCTTTCCGCTTCAAACGTCTCTTCAGGGCCGATTTCAGCTCCTAGGGAAATGCAAAGGTCAAGCACATAGGATAATATATCCATGGTTTAGTACGAAAACGTCATTTAATCAGCCAAATGAATTGGCCCAGAACGACGCCGTATAGCAGAAATAACGGTTAATAGGGACTTATGGAGCTTCTAGTTAAAGATTTTTCTGTGGCTATTTCCTGATAGCCCCACGTCACAGTTTCGTCATTATACATCCCAAAAATTTTTGCGCAATTTCAGGAAATTCAAGCCACTTACCTCTGGGTCCATCGTATCCAACAGTTCCGACATCCGGACCAGCTCGTTGCTAAGGTAAGAACACTTCACAATGGCCTGGTCCTGAGTCCTCTGGTCGCGCGCTCTCTTGGTGGAGTCCGTGTGGCCGTTCGGGAGTCCGTTCACCGCTCGTCTCCTGTCATCCTCGAACTTCACATGATGCCGACCTTTTGGTCGCACGTCGTGATGCTCGTCACTGTCGTGGTCCTTGTTGTGGAGGATGGTGTGTAGCCGGGGTGTGTGCTGATGGTCAGGCTCGAGGATGTCCCTGTGACTGTGTTCTTCTGTTGAAGATGGAGTCCTCACGCTGCCATCACTCGACAGCGGAGTCAGGCCGTTTTCTCGTTCGTGAATCAAGTCGCTGTTCGCAAATCCGATGCCGGAGTCTTCAAACTTTTGCACTAGGTCGTTTATCTGTGGATGACGGGGCATTTCGCTGCTTTGTTGTGTATGCTCGATCCCGTTGTGCTCTGGCTGAAGGTCGTCACCGCCGGTAAAATTGCCAGCTTCCTCCGGACGACTGTTGTAGCCACGGCGACCACCGGCGATACCACTCTCCAACAGGTGGTGTCCCAGCTCCGCTTTTGAAGCATCAGAATCACTGTCGGTGCTGTGTTCTACCTTGCTCTGTCTCATAAGGTTAGTCCTTTGCTGAAGGCTTCGTGCAAACGAACTCTCCATGACAAAGGGCAAACCATCCATGGCACTACCTACCTCTACTGGATGCTCATCGTTTTCCTGTAACGTATCGTGGCAGCTGTTTTCCACATCTATGTTACTAGGAACGGTGTCTCTTTCTTCATGTATGTCTTTCCTGGGATCTTCCATCTCATTAGACACATGTAAACTGTCACCATTTTTATGGCTATGATCGAAATTTGGTTCCTTCTGTTCCTGGCTGAGCGTCTCAGTGCCTGTCTCCACAGGCAGAGTGTCGTTGCCGTGATGTACGTGTGCTGAGCTCTGGTTATCATGGCGCGGGTGAATTAGGGCGTCACCAATTTGAGTCGTTGTACTATGGATCTCATTTGGCACTGGTTCTTCAGTCTTCACAGACTCTTCTGAATCTGCGTTTATGGCCTGTTCCACATGATTTGTGCCACTAGTTGGGACGCTGTCTTCAGTGTTTTTGACTTCGTTTGGTATAGTGTCTTTATCTGTGCTAGGAAAGTTTCGCAAGTTGGGACTAGTTTGATGATTATGGCTCGTCTCTGTATGTTTTGTGGGGGATACTTTCGACTTGCTGTCCTCCTTTGAGCTACCAGCGGTTTTCTCTGACGGTTGACTATCAGGTAAGGGGTTTGTTTTCTTGCGTTCATCTCTTATTTTCAGTTCCCTCTGCCACGGCCGTTCACCATCCATGACTTGCCGTTTTCGTTTATCAATCGGAAAGTGGTTCTCCTCAAACATCTTACTTATCTTCGCAACTTTTCCTCTGCCTTTCTTCGGATTATTCCACGCACGAGAACTCAGGTCAAGAACCTCCTGTTTCTCCGGAGCGCGGTGCGCCCGAGCCGTGTTGTCCAGGGACTGAAACCCGTCCACGATCGTGGCCACCTCCCTGTCCTCTGCACAGCCGTCCAGGGCTTGTTCGATATCGTCCATGGAGTACGCCATTTTGCCAGTGGCAGTCAAGCGCATGAGCTCGTGTGAGTTTGATGGCGACAACAGAATTAAGGAAGATAACCCTCAGTTATTCATACCTGCAGAAACAAAAATCAATGATTATTGTTTTAAAAACGGGGGTTGCGATGTCATATTGGTAAGAAAACTGATGTGGAATATAAACATGAGTGCTGGTGACGTGGCTATTTCAATCTTTGAACAGTTTATTGTAGTAAGATAAGACGTCTTTTCAATGTATGTGTATATTTCATGCTATAAATCATTGATGCCACATGAGGGGCTTTACTTTTACAGCGACACAACAGTGAAATGCTGCCAGTGGACCGTGCTTCTTGTATTCATTACACTAGATCTTGACAGGATGGCACTTTTAAAAGCTGTTATAGATGAATGTCCACGTGGGATTTCGTGCCTACGTCTAAATCCACAGTTCATGCACGAGTGCATGAAATCAGATACCCGGGTAATTACAGACTATCGTGCACTTTTTTATGGCACCGTTTCTGAACTATGCATTAAAAATGAAGTAGGCTCAATTATCTGATTTACCCAGAATGTTTTGGGTAGTTTTTCACGTAGTCCACTGCGAAAAGAGGGGCAAGCCTCTATATTTGGGTATTTTATGGCGGAAACGTACCCAATGACTGTGTGCTGTTCGCTGTAATTAATAGTACACGCAGCTATGATAAGGGTGTAGAAAAATCCCCCATTTGAAGTGTACAGAAAACACCTACGTAGCTACGTCATTGTCTGTAAATGTAGTACAAAGTAAAAGTATCAACAGTAAACATCATTGGCAAATTGTGGACACAGCCCGGAATACCCACCGACCCCGGAGACCTCACGAAACCGTGTTTTCCTACGAGTTTATTCGGTCAGCTGGGCCGCTAAGAATAGGCTTGGAAGTCATCGTATTTTACGAGCCGGGCAAACAAGTGATGCAAGGGTTATGCCTCAAACAGGCACTCTGATTAAAGTTTAACCTACTCACGTCTTATTGAAGAGGCATTGTGTCGAATAAACATGACCCAAGTACGTATATGTGCACCGCCGAATGGCGTTAGTGGCTAAATATAAGAACAAAGGAGAATGTGATCGACCATAACATTCCTTAACTGGTTCTACCGATTTGTGAAATTTGTCTAAAATACTGTATGGCTCAGGTTAGTATGTTTTGAATCAACTTCAACGTGCTGTCATAAAACAACTTCTGGAATGCAGCAAAAATACAACGTTACTTACATTGTACGTTACGCTAGATGGTGGGCATAACATGTTGCTGTTCACAACAATGTCGTCTTATTTTCCTCATATCTTTGTACGAAAGGACATATTCCTTCTATCTAAGTATAGATCATTCTATTTGATGCTAAAGGATACATAATGATGATGACGCTCTTAAGCTTCACTAGAACGTTAGTTGGACTCCCCCCCCCCTCCTCCGTACATGTATTTACCAGAGATGTTATGCTCCAACGTAGGTCATGGCATTGTGGCAAGCAGTGATCACAGTCATACATTATGTCTAATGATGACAACTAAGAATGACAGAGATTACGGTTTCGCACGTATGTGCAAACTATGCTCTCTGTCAGCAGAAAACCTCAAGCGAATTCGCTAGAACGATATCGATAGAGCTAACGTTATAGCTGCACATGTAGTAGTGATCAACTGAACACAGCTGTATTCCCCTCCTAGAATGATATAAGAAAAACGGCTTCGTTACCTTCACAAGCTAAACCCCGCGCATCAGCATGTTAGACGCCACCGCTGTGAGTGTAACTGTATTCAGTAACAGGTACATGGAACAGTGATCCTGTGTTGATGGGTAAATATTTGCGTTTCGCAGTGCCCTGACATCATGGCGTCACATGGACGTCCATTCTAACAAGTGTTCGCACTTTAATGAGCAAGCACTCAACATCAGGGATGAAAAGGTACAGCTTTATGGCTTTAACCTCTGCTATGTGGAAAACAAATTCACGCAAGGAGGTTCAATGACCTGGTAAATATGCTATGAATAGATTACTACAAAATACAATGGGTGAATACTTTTCCTACAGCACATCTTACATGATATATTGTAACGCAGTTTTGATCCTCTGTTATCAATGTGACGGTACGCAAACTAGTCGACCGTCTTGATCTATGTCATTTCCTGCAGATACTGTATGTTGTTTTAATGTTCCGTGTCTAATAGGTTATACTTGTTGAACATTGAGAACATTGACAGCTCAATACCACAACAATCTGAATCATGGGTTTGGAATGGAAGGAGCTAATTATGACAATAAATATGTCTGCCATAAAAACTGAAGTGCGCTTAACTCGACAGGAGCGCCGAGGAAAACGCTTAATTGGACCATACAAATGTGTTTATAGGACTGTACACGGTCACCTACGTGTGAATGTTCACATTACAGAAACCAAACATGCTCCACGTGTATTGCTGTTGCAATTTGAATACAGAAACATGTCAAATATTATCATGGCGTACTCCGGTTTGCGTGCCAAACGCCCATTAAGAAGAAAAACGTGTTTATGATAGCATGGGTAAGTATACGATTTCATGGTTTTCACAAACACGTTTATCTACTGCGAAGTCCATTAGACCGATAACGTTCTGCCCTTGACAATCAACTAACGGTGACAGAAGCGAGCACGCAATTCTGAACTGTGCGATTCCTAAGTGCGTACGGATGATCGGTGCAATTTTGCCCATGCTCAGCAATTAGTGATATTGTCGTTTCTTGTTGGTTTGATAATAATTATCGTTTTGATAGAACCAGCTATAAGATACATCTTCTGAAGCACTAATTCTGCAAGAAAGAGGTCTCGAATTGTATAAAGACATTTCCCATGCGTAGCGCGCCTTAACCCTTAATACGTCTTATGTTGCTGGCTGCTTGTGCATGCATAAACTGATAAAGGATCGACACAGATTTGTCCCACGACAAACATTCAAAACCGCCTAACACCTCCCGCAATGCCACCTCACAGCCTTATCACCGGAAAAGGTATAATCGCCGACGTTAAATGATTTTTTTTCACCGAGAACCACACATAAAATGTGTGTTTGTGCGCGCGCGCGCGTGTGTGTGTGTGATTGTGTGTGTGTGTGTGATTGAGTGTATGTGTGTGTGTGTGTGTGTGTGTGTGTGTGTGAATTGTGTGTATGTGTGTGTGTGTGATTGTGTCTCTGTGTGTGTGTGAGAGTGTGTGTGATTGAGTGTGTGTGATTGAGTGTGTGTGATTGAGTGTGTGTGTGTGTGTGTGTGTGTGTGTGTGTGTGATTGTGTGTGTGTGTTTATGTATGTATGTTTGTATGTATGTATGTATGTATATATATATGTGTGTGCGTGTGTAACTATGTGTTTGTGTTTGTGTCTGTGTGTGTGTGTGAGTGTGTGTGATTGAGTGTGTGCGAGTGAGTGTGTGTGATTGAGTGTGTGTGTGTGATTGAGTGTATGTGTGTGTGTGTGTGTGTGTGTGTGTGTGTGTGTGTGTGTGTGTGTGTGTGTGTGTGTGTGTGTGTGTGTGTGTGTGTGTGTGTGTGTGTGTGTGTGTGTATGTTGATACCTAAGGAATCAAGGTATAACACCATAAGCCACAAACACCACCGTCAAATAAACATCCACCTACCGAAGGCATGCCGCACGCTAAACGTTCCTCTCGGACTTAGCAACACGAAAACGTCGCCTCCAATTAATACGTTATCAATAACTCTGATGGATTTACAATTGCCTCCCGTTTGGCCGGGCTTCTCTCCGGAGAATAATGCCGCTTTTGTGGCCCCTACCCTCCCACCTGTGTGGTAGGATATCGGGTCAGTGAGAGGGTGTGGGTCCTCGTTAATTGGAAAAATTATTGGAGAGGAACGAGGCCATATGTTTTCACATAAACGTATAAAATAAGTCATGAAACCGACACGACGTGGCGTAATAGATGTCCAAAATCAGAGGCAATGGAACATTAACTGCACTCTATGTGTCTTGGTCATTCATTACAGTGTGTATACACACAGGACGCCACAAGGCTATTAACCGCTTTAAAACTGCGTTCACGAGGAATGGATTTTAGCTTGGCTGTGTGCCTGAACGGGAAATTGACAATAATGCACTGTGGATACGAATTCGATTACTGTGGAACTACTGAACGTCGTAAGATGAGCTGAATGATTGTGTACAGGAATTAGAGTGGTGATGGCTCTGCGGTGGGGAGTTTCCCGTTATATGAATCAAAATGTGTTCATTTTTGTGTCTTTGTTACTACCTTGATTGGAGTAAATACATAAAGTTACGCTAGGGAGAGTGCCAAATAGGTTACAGTTTTTGAAATAATATGATGACACTGAAATTCAACTGCAAAGACGATTGACTAATCTACAACCACAACAAGTTTGTTTTAAAAATTGTCTATTTCTTAGTTTTTCCAAATCTTCATGAACTATACCTGTAACGTTACATTCACCGACACAAAACCAAACGTCAACCTCTACATACCCCCTGTCCGTACTATTTAAGTGACAAAGCTACCCCTTCCGTTCCCTGTCACACCTATCAATGAGTGTAAAATGGCACCGTGACGTGTGACAGGCGACGTGACGACAGGTGAACGGTGCGGTTTGTCATGACTCCCGAAATGGTTCTCCTATCACGGGAGCGACACAAGTCATTGTTATTACACTCAGCACGGCATTAATTTGTTTGCAAGCAATGTAGTGTTGAACAACGTTTAGGTTGTAGCTGTAAGAAAAATCGATAATGAGAGACGATCCCCCGCACTGTTTGGAAACATTTTGATGAATCTCTCCCAGCCTCAAGGGTCACGGTACAGGTGTACAGATGCAGGTGTGGCCGGCTAACGGAAACGTGCAGGAATTTTTAACGTCTGTTAGCAACATAGTAGACTGGCATGTTTCCAATTTTATGACACTTGGGGTTTGTTCGTTTTTAATTCAGGGGTGGGTATGGGAATATTTCAAATCACCGTCTCCATTTCATCTTTTTTTGCCATGGCTTATTTAGACTCAGATCTAGACGAGAAAATTACACGTAAAACACTTAGATAATCAGCAATTTCCATAGGCTCGCTAGCTATTTAAAGGACGAATAAATTTGAATAGACTCATCAGGACTAGATTACTATAGTTTACACTGTGAGTTCATTGCCACATAGCTACATAGTCAGGTTAGATAGATGAAGATAGTGGAGAGAAGTAAAGAAATACGTAAGAAACACGACGTTTATATAAACGAAACAGTGGTTCAAATTGTTATTGACGTTAGCTATACTATTACTTTGCCATTTGTAATTTTGTTGTACATTACCTGCATCATGGTGTCTGGATAAACTAATGACTTAATTGTCCGTATCACATATCAGAGCAAATAACAAACCATTAACCAACCTGTTTTGTTTGTAATCTGATAGTTTCCAGGTCAGCCACTTATGAGAAGAAGTGTTTGCTATCAAGGGACTTAGATGGATCACGAAACAAAAGATATCGATATAAACATGTAGTTTGTATCGACGATATGATATGATAAATGTCAAATATACACACATTTATATACAGCTATATGTGTGTATATTTGAGATATACACAGAGGAAAGGGCGGGAAAAGGTGGACACACAAACTAGTACATCGACCATAAACATGATGATGATAATAAATATAACATTGTCACTGTCAGATAGAGTTACAAATTGCCTACCACAAACGGTAAGATGAGCTAAATTAAGAAAGAGCTGAAGTAGAACAGGTCTACTCCTTGAGACAGGCGATGACGAAACTCGCCAAGTCTTGATTTTAATGGAGAAAAATTGTTGATGACCTATGACTCAACAAGACGTGAATAGGGTTTTAAGTATGATAAAGAAACCGATATTTTTTTGCCCTTGTTACTTAACGGTAAAGGTCCCATAGCCTTTTTGGTATATTGTGTCTAGAGCACGGTACTAGACGACCTAGCTATAGCCCATCCCCTCCTCCCACCTCTTTTTTACTTAAGCACTATTTAATATGACATCAAATTTATGGTTTAGTCCAAAATATTTAAGCCCCACTTGATGTGTAACTAAATAGTATACTTAGAAGATTAACCAGCACGTAATGGCGGTCATAAGCTCCAAACATGAGCGCTGCATTTTGGCCACATAAACTGATATCAGAATGGAAATACATGTACAGAAGCGCTGTTACTTAAGGTTAATGTGATTTGTACACATCATGATGATGTATGAAGGACACGTATAAACTGTAACTGTGCGGTTTACAGTACTGAATACATGCGGTTCACGCGTGACTAACCTAACATCCCATGACAGCCGGGTCCTGAGGGGATATACCCCGACAGTCTTCCGAGTGATATAAATTAAAAGCGGACGAATGGTGCACGTTACGTGACCTGACGCGTATTGTGAGCTTTAAAAGGTTTCCGTGTGGGTGACGTACGGTCGTGTTGCGTGAAGGTGACACCGACCGGCGTACGGGCGCACAAAGCGGACACAAACACGGCCGTGACGGCATTGTGGAGGTCACAGCACCGCAGGCTCAGTCTCATTCAGCGAGACAAGTGTAATATGTATATACATGTAGCTATGATTTATTCTCTGGCTGTACCCAGTCAATACTCTGAAGTGGACATTGTTAGAGAGCTGCAAATTCGCCATAACCGTCTTTTATATGCACAACATATTTGTAGTAGTAGTTAAAATCGTTAGCATATTGTAACGTAATCGTATTTTTTTCGAAATCGTATTACGTTTCTCATTCATCCATCGGTGTGAATTGATAATCACTAAAGCAATTTGATCTACAAGCAAATGTTGGGCTGGAATGATATACATTTGTCCTCTTGTTTTTGTTATCCTCTAGCTCTAAATGCTTTAGTCAGTGAAGTGTAGAATAAACTATAAAGTAGAAAGTCACCATAATGTTCATATACCATCTGCTTGGATATCATACAATGCCTTAAGATCTGTGTGGGATCAAATTCGCCAGGAGGTCTCTGATTTCAAGGCCGTAGATGTGGTTTCCCGCCCTAAAACAGTGACCTCGCTTCGGCGTGAGAACTTACCTCACACCTGTACTCATCGTCTCAGGGGCAGCGCCCAGCACTAGACCTATCGTTAGACTTTAACTAGTAGTGGTGGTAGGGGAAATAGTAGAATTTTATTAATCTCTAAGCAGATATTTTTCGTGGTCAAGACACTATAGATGGCCTAGCTAGCCCCGTAGTATTTTATCATAAGAAGAGTTGGCCAATCCACGGAGACGCCTGGTACATATGCAGACTAGCCCATTGAACCATGCCACATACATTTAGGTAAAGGTATTATAGAGATTACTCTATAAACTTAGGCTAACATTAGTTTACCCAAAGGTTGTATCGGATTAAAAGATTATCTTGATAAGTACCGCTTTTAAAGGCAGACAAGATCTAGAGGAAATGTTTTATGGGTAAATCTCCTGGGCTGCTTATTCTAGCCCCATTCTCTTACGATGCGATAGAAAGAACATACTGCACAGCTTAGCGTTATATCAATAAAACATCACTGCTTTTCTGTCCCTGTACTACAGTAAGATAACACCTTTATCAATTACACACCTTTATCCTTTCCAAATTGCACGTTTTCGGCGTTGTTGATCTAGCTTACGTTTTCTGTATTATACCGGACATGTTATATATTGTGCGGAAATCTAATATCCTGTCATAAAACACGAAGGATATTGAAAAGATAAATCAAGCTGTAAAAACGCAGAGGAAGCACGCGTCGGGTCATATTTGTGGGTACCTCGTATCTACAAGGATCTGGACAGGGTCACGGGCTAAGCATACATGTAAATTACATGTGTGTGTGTAATGTAGCGGAAAACCACAAAAACAACCCACACGCTATCGTACGTATAGCATCTATACTGCATTATGACGTTTGTAATTGGAAAGGTTTGGTCTTACCTTAAGAATCTACCTGGTTGGATCTTGCCTTAAGTGTACGCCCAGGAGCAGAACTGGTAGCATTTCTCCGACGTCTCTGTGTGTGCAGACTGGCCGGCCGTGTTGGTGGGTCTTGACAACCCCGCTCTTTAAACATTCAAACAAAACGGGCCAAACAGCAATTTGTAACGGAGTACTCCCAGGTCGCTATTAACAGCGCTAACAATACCACCATTGGTACCTTTACACGGCATGACACAATACAACGGAAGAGGCGATACTCGAAAGGGTACACCCTGACGCAGAATACAGCGTGGCCTTCGTGTAGCTCTTCAAAAGGTCTCGATTTCTAACCATCAATGATGTCCATTAGAACTGCCTCTTAACTCCCAGCAACACACGGGACGATGTCTTCTCTCCAGTTGATCCCGCGGTTAGATCCAAACAGCCAAACTATAGGTGAGAACGAGAAAACAATCCTGTTTGTTTGCCACGCTGCGTCCCAGCTTTGCAGGCCATAATGTGAGGAAACACACGCACGGAGGGCCGACCAATGACATGTTTTGTAGGCTGGCCCGTTACCTTTCTGCCATTGTTCCCACCTGGCACGCTAAGCGTGATTAATTGGGGGTGAATTAGAGATAGCGGGGTGAACCCTGATCCCAGCAGCGGCGATGTACTGGGCAAGGAACGGTGTTGTTTATGGGGCTATAGAATGGGGCATAAGATGTAATCCAGTTAAAAAGACTTCTGGGCAGATCAAATATAGGACTGTATAGGACACTAACTCATTCGATCGACTTCAGGGCAGACAAGGGGAATTACTTTTTATATATCGAAGCACTTCTTTTCTTGGGATAACGTTATGGAATGTATATGCGTGGTGTGTGTTATAACGTTGAAACGTTCCTTGAATGATAGCATGTGGATGAAACAGACGTCTATTTGAGCCTTTAATACGTTTTAGGGGAAATTTGTACATATGAAACATGCATCATGTGGCTTATTGTCTATTTAGCAAGTCCGACATTTTGATTTAGCCTCTACCAGGCTTCGGTAGGCGGCTGGAAAGAGTGAGTACGTAGGAAAGAATACTAACTTTGGCCAAATAGAGAGATAACATGCCTGGGGAGTTGTTCTGCTAGAGAGTGCGAACTTCTAGCGGACCAACTCTCCCATGTCTCCTGGCATGTTATCTCTCTATTTGGTCAATTTCCACTCTTTCCAGCCGCCTCCCGAAGCCTGGTAGAGGCTAAGTTTGAGGCACCTAATGTTGACATCTCTATGGATAAAAAACGCTCATAGCGGCCAAAAATACACTGCAGTAATTGGAGCAACATTACGGTGCAGTCCTACGTTAAACTGGTAGAGGCCGCTTTTAATCAATGCACGGCACTGAATCGCTAGCGCTCTAAAACGTTATTCGGAAACATTCCACCTTGGAAATCTTCGATAAGGAAGCTTTGAGTTAACCTCATAGTTGTTTTAGCTCATACCCCCCCCAAAAAAAAACCCCACCAACTACATTCATGTATATTGCACAAATTAACTCATGAGGTCTAATGCTACATGTACGTTCAACATCTTCTATTGAATATCTGGAAACGTTATTTTTCGAAGACATTTAACTCTTCTATATTCACTCACAATTAAGCCATTCTGATGGATGCGAGACTACAAAAAATGTAGCTAGCTTAAGTCTACAAGTGCAGAACCAAATAGCAAGGTGAACATGCCAACCTGAACACCTGCCGTGAAATGCCCGAAAGAATTGTGGGATAGGGAATTCCCCTTACTTGGCTCACCTTGCAAAAATTGTGACGCAGCATATAATTCAGTAAGAACGCACAGATTTTCAACCTGTAGGCCCTTTAACTCACTTTAATCAGTTAGCCAACTCTTATGAGTCGCGATCAACAATGTCTCCGGTGTATTTCAGTGGCTTCCTCGTCGTCTTGGCAATCTTGTTGGTAAGGCTCAGTCTTGATTGTTAGCATCTATGATTTCCGAAGTCAGTGCTGTTCATACATTTAGCTGCTTGTGATTTCAGCCATTGAGTAGAGTTGTTCCATGAAATAGCAAGGATGTCTATTGATGGATTTGATTCACAGTACTGAACCACAAAATTTAAAGGCACGACTGGTATAGACAGCTCAGTAAAGGCTCTATAAATGTCTCATGACCCGTCATGACCAGACCATACTACATATGCCTTTAGGCTATACGATAGTCTAACGTTACTAACATTTTGAGAATGCTTATGGCGCTTTTGATTGAAAACTTACTCTCTTCTGTACCTGTATTAACAAACTCTAGGCTGTTCCAGATAAACTAAAGATGGGAGGGCAAACAAAAACAAAATGCATAACATGGAACTCAGTCAAAGCTAAAGTGTAACGGGTTCTTTCGGCCATCTTGCCCTCGCATTTTAGTAACAGCAGAACCCTTGCCTTTATTTCACCCCAGCAGTTGGAAAGTAGCTTAAGGTAAAAAAAATTCCCTCCACAATTTTGGTGTTGTGACGTGGTATGTATTGTTGTATTTTCACACCTTTGTGTTGAATCAAAATACACCATTGTCAATGATTGTGTTGATGTTATGTGGTGAATGGACTTTTCTAATACTAGTAATGTTGATAAAATGTCACAAACTTAGTTTTTGCATGGGTAATGTTATTATGATTAGCAACTCTGTAGTCAAATTGAAAATAAATGACATTGTTTCCAGGTTATTAAGCAGATGCGCACCAATAATCAGAAAAGAACAACTGTCATTCATGGATACCCCTGGCACATTATAATAATAATTATTAAAAGGTTCTATTACCCAAAATTGTGCCACTCAAGAACAACAAGGTTTTGTAATGGGATACTTTGGTGGACCTAAAAACAAGTAATGAAATATATTTGTCTAAAATTTCAGGACCAATTTGCTTCTGCACAGCAAATCTGTATAAGAGAACTTGAGTATCCTCACAATGGGCTGTGCTGCAACCTCTGCCCACCAGGTAATAACAATTGACAACATTTCTATGGTCTTTACTTTTGTCTAATTTCACTGATGTATAACCATTAATTTAGGAAATGTACATTATACATATATTTCCAGATTTTCAGGTACATAAAGAATAATTTTACTCTTTTCAGTAACATATACAGTAGGGAGTTACTTTATAATATAACAATATATATACTTTTTCACATTTTGTCAAATGGCCATATTATAATTAGCTAGTGACGTGCTACATGCTACAGAAATAGTTTTTGATAAGACATTTGAAAAAATTTTATTGGTGTACAAAATTTTATTGATTATACATTTGACACTACATGTATTCATACGAATAATGGCTAAGTCACTAATATTGGTAAAAAAAGTTACTCTTTTGATCATTAATTCCTGCACAGGCTTCTACAAAGTCAAGGACTGCACATGGAATCTTCAAACAGAATGTGCAGCATGTGCAGATGGCTACTTTTTGGACCATCCCAATTTTGAAACACGGTGCCGGCGTTGTACAAGATGCCATTCCCAAGTCCACGAGGAAGAGAAGACACCCTGCCGCAAATACCAGGACCGAGTGTGTCAGTGCATGCAGGGGTACTTCATCCCAAGATGGAGTGTGTCTGAGGTCTGCTACAGACACATGAAGTGTCCACCTGGTGAAGGAGTGGACAAAAAGGGTAAGTGCAATCTGTGTTGAATGCAAATCATGATCCATAATATGGTGCATTAACTAGAATACCTCTTTTATGTACTCACTTACTCACTCACTCACTTAATTAGTCCTCTTCTGAACCTAGTGGTTCTTGAGGCGACAGGAAGGATTTCCATCTGTCCCTATCTGCAGCTGCGTCCGGGGCTGTGTCCAGAGTCAGTCCCCCCTCTTCTAGGTCCCTCTGTATTGTTCTCCTCCACGTCTCTTCTGGACGCCCTCTTTTTCTCTTTCCTGTCGGTTGCCATGTTAGGGCAACTCTTGTTATGTTTATATACATGTACATGTATATTCAAATGAATGAAATAAAATCTTTCAACAGAAAAATCCATTGAACATACTAATATGTGTGTGCTCATGGGGAATAAAGATTGTTGAGGAGGAAGAAGTGAATACATGTGCATGACCATATAGTGTAAAACACAATAAATAGCATCAATATACATGTGTACATTTGTACATACCATCTTTCTTGCCAACAGGAACAAGAGAAACAAACACAGTATGTAGACCCTGTGCGCATGGAACATTCTCAGACAAAAGGTCTTCACGGCAGAAGTGCAGGCGATGGACTGAGTATGTATTTTTTTTTTTATTTTTACTGTCATAATAATCTTGCTACATTGTAAGTATGTAACAACTAAGCCAATGTCTCTCTCTTTGAATATTAGTCATAAGCTAACATTCAGACCTAACATTTTAAGTCAAATATTCTAAAAAGTCTAATAGTATATAGGTATTGAGCAAGAAGACCAAAAACTAAGTACTAGTACTGTACACTAATTACAAGCTTGCCAGTGCTATGAGTATGAGTTACATGCATGTACAATGTGTGTTGCATATCATGAAGCAGTCATCAAATTAAAGGATCAACATTGATTAGTAGCATTTTTCCTGACTTCATGTTACTGTTGTCATTTTTTCAGCTGTAAGCAACTAGGTAGAGAAGAAGTGGAGGAAGGAACAAAAAAACATGATGCCATATGCAGAGCCAAACTGACAACCACCACCCAAACTGTCCCTTCACTGAAGTCAACAAAATCCACTTTGTCAACAATTATCACATCCCAAGCAAGGTCAAAACCACCGCCTCCTTATTCTGTGTTGCCCAAGTTTACCATGTCAATGTCCACCCCCTTGCCCAACTTCACCGTGGCATCAACAACCCCCACACCATCAACATCAGATTTCATCTTTATCCTCAAGTCTTCCACAGCATCAAGCAGTCAACCAGTGTCAGAAATGTCTTCAAGTCCACCAAAGCTTATCAGTACTGTACAGCATGACATTAAGACCCTTTCTACAAAAACTAAAACAACAGAAACCTCATCTTCTGACCAAAACATATCAGACTTTCAAAGCAGCTCAACACACTCCCTGGGAACAACTACAACTGCGATTGTGACTTCTGCAAATGGGGATACAAGGGCTGACCAAAAGTCTTCAACATCACCCTCTCCAGCTGTGACAATCATGCAGCCAAAGACAAGTGTTTCATACTTTATTGAACTTATTGCAAAGGCCAAACCTGCCACCACACCTGCTACATATACCTTGACAGGTGAGGTACATGTGATTGAATCAAAGACAAGACATTGTGACATTATTATGGTGATCATTATGTTGCTCATGTAATAGCCACATGAATCTAATTTCTTCAGTGGTATCGTTAAAAGATAATGCCAGTTATTTCTATATTTAAACTATAGGTGGCACTATAGGTGACAACAATGTAAATGAGGCTATTGGATTTAACATGCTAAATCATATCTGCAAATTTAACATGTATACATGTAGCTCTGGCAGGTTTTTGTCTTATGAGTTTATGAGGCTAACAGGTGGCAGTCTACTTGATGTTTACCATTGTTTGATAAGCTTATTGTAAAAAATTGAAATGTTGTAACATTATGATCGTGTCTTAAATGATCTTCTTCGTTCTTGCCTTAATCTATAGAAACAACTGAGCAGAGGGAGGAAACAAAATATAAACCAGATGTGAGAAACAATGGAGTACACGGCTATGCACTACAAAAAGCAATGATTCTGATTCTTTCCTGTCTGCTGGTCATCACAGTTATCATTCTCGCGGCAATTGTTATCAAATTCTGGTGCTATAAGAAAAAGAAAAACATCTCCCTGCCAACAGGTACAAATCCTTGCCAAAATACTTTCTCTCTTTTTCATGCTTAATGATTTACAGCAAAACTATATAATTTATTATACTTAAGTATACTAGTATGTTGAACTGCACTTGAAAATTGTAACAAATTAGTACCTTTTGGCAACATTAAGCTCTGATATCAAATAAGAAACAGCTGATAGCATGTGCTCACAAAGTTTCTGTCAGTCAATCACAAAAGACTATGACTTTTAAAACTGCCCCAAAACAGGATGGTACAGTTCAGGTACAAATTGAATTTGAGCTCAAATTCAACATATTAAAATATTAAAGGTACAATAAATTGGAAATAAGATGGTATTCACGGCAGCAAGTAACAACCATCCACTACTTATATGAACATTTTATATTGACTAAGACATCTTGTACTCAAGCAGTATCAAATACATATCAGCGCTATGTTTGTATCATTTTAAAATCTACTCTTGCCTAAAAAATGTTTTTATTACATTTATACTACAGTGTACTACAACAACACAAGTGGGGATGTTACCATTGGTGAAGGTTCACAGGATGACAGTCAGAATCATCTGATGGTAAATAATATTTTGCTTAGTATGAACTGCAAAGGAGGTTCTTGTCAGTTGAGGTTGTTTAATATATAAAAAGAAAATTCAAAGTACATGTAATATACATGGATACATGTACATGTAGATAATGCAATGTTTACATCAATATGTGATTGTAGCATACAAATCTTGATGACAATACTTAAGCTCAAATTGTGTCATTTGTGACCTTACAAATGCATTTGATGAATCATGAATGATAATTGTGATTTCAGGGGGCAGATGGGGGCAGTGGTTCACAAGACAACAACAGTGATGCAGTTCATTCTGTGGAAGTACATGAAGCAAACCAGATGAACACTGAGGACGAGCACTCTCCACTGATGCCTGCTTTAGGAGGTCATCCTGAAGGTACCACTTTAACACCTTGTAAATTTGAAGCAGAAAAAGCTAACTAGAAATACATTGAACCAATGAATTAACCTGGAGACCAGCCTTAAGCTTATTTCACTCATCTTATTGATGATGGCAAATGAATTTGTGTACACTGAAATAGAGTCATGCATGATTATACACTTGGCACAGAAGGTTCACTCCTTCATTGATATGTTACAAAGTTAGCAATCACAACATAAGGTTTCCTCATCATGGTTACTAACATCAAACTTTACCATAGATTCAGCTGAATCTATCATAATGGTAAAGTTTGATGTTAGTAACCATGATGAGGAAACCTAACTTAGAAAACTATTCTTCAGAAGCAGCTGCATCACCCAGTGAAGATCTAGACATCTCAGAGAAAGAGCTTGCCAAACTTGCGAGGACCATGGGACCAGGCTGGGAGGCTGCTAGTATACAGTTCCTTGACATCACTCGTGCACAGTTGCAGACTTGTAAGGACAACAACCTATTAAACAGAGACATGCAGATTTTTGACACTCTCAATTTGTGGAAAACAAATAACAAAGGAAAAGCAACATTACAGACACTGTGCCAGCTGCTGACACAGGCTGAAGTAGATTACACAGTAGAAGAGTACTAGAAGCTTCAGTTTCCAAAGAAATATCTTTCTGTTACAATTAAATTACAGTTAAATTCATAGAATAATTGAAATGTCATTAGAAGACCCTATCTACTTTTAACTCCATGATCTACTGTAATCATAAACTCATGTAGTGCGTTGGTAACAGAAAAACTCAATGGGACCGGGATTGTTACAGCATGCCTTAGAATTATCAACATTGTGTACAATTGTGCTGTCTGAAGCCACCACTGTAATCATTGAGAGTATGGCAGCTTATTTCATGAATTACCTGTTTCAACAATCCTCTCAATAACTAATGTCTTCTCATAATTATCTATTGAAACATGCATGAAGCCGTTTGGATACTAGACTAGCAGAATTAAGTGATCATATACTAGTAGTGTCAATCTGGCTTAGTATTGCTATAAACACTATGTGCATTTCAACAGACTTGGTTAGTCTATGATCATGAGTATGATGCAAAATATCAAAATATAACTGAATGTGTTTTAACACATTCAGTTATATTTTAAAATATAGAATTTTCTATGTTGCAATGAGTCAAATGTCTCAAATGTGTTTTAGTTTGTGTAAACACAATACACATTTTGTATTTAATCTTAAGACCAGATTCTAGAAGCAACATAGTCAAGACACGATGTTATGTCTTCGCGATGTTATGTCTTCAGAAACAAAAAATGGCATGTACATGTATGGAATGTAAAGATTTAATTGGATGACCCTGAAGTCTTTGAGCAAACAAACATGCACAAGCTAAGTGTATTGATTGTGCAAGTGAGATAAATGACAATAATTAAACATATGTTCATGAATACTGTCACGTGATATTTTACATCAGGAATGCTGTAGAGGTTATAAGAACAGTTACCTGATTTAACAATAAGGTTAATGTAAGTTATACTTTATATCAGCTGGTGTGGGGGCAAGAGGCCAGTCAAGTTCATGTATGTATATGATCAAAACATTCATTTGATTTTGTTATACCTACATCAACCTTAGTAGTGTTTTCATTGTAGTGCCATATGTAGAATTACATAGAAAACTAGACTAATAGCACTTTCCTAGAATTAGAAATACCTGTGGCCAAAACTTGCCATACTTGTGTACATTGTCATGGTACAACTGTTGTGAAAATAAAACTCATGCATACACAAGACTTTCAAAATGTATGGAATCTTATTCATAACATCATCTTCAGAAATAATCATTAAAAAATACAATAAACAGTACTGACAGTAGTAATATAAATTGAGGCAAAAAGTGAAATTTTAGTAAATCTTGTATATTGTACAACTCTTATAACAGTTTGGCATATTTTGATCTAAAAGTAGTACAATGCAATGAATAGTAACACTTTTCCACAAGTGATACATGTACAGTGCCGGTTATGTGCATCTTGTAAAATGAAGAGGTACATTTTCTGTAGTAGTGCCAATAAAACTAATTAAAAGAAGCTAAAACTTTATCATATTATCAGTGTTACAAAAGGTACGTTAATCAGTGTTATAAAAGCACAAGGACTAGTTAGGATTTATGTAACATTTCAAATTGAAATTCTAAAGTAAAATAAAATTAGACTTCTTGAAATCCTAAAACAAGTACCCCCAGTTATAGGCGACAATTCTCCATGAAATTTTAATTACTTTGCAGATTGGGAAGAGTATTGTACCTGCCCGACCGGGGGTTCAATCACAACATACATGTACAGACGGGCCACCCATTGTTGTGTTTCAACAAGTGCCCTCATGCAGTGAGGTGTACAGTGTCATCATTAGTGATCTACTTGACAGACCAAGCTGATATATTGACATCCAGTTACAAAGAACACCTGTCAAATAAATTTCCATGTCCCTGATTTCTTTGTTTAATTTTGAAAGGTCAGACAGCATGCTGTTAACCCCGTCTGGCACACGTCACAAGGTTTCATGTTCACATTTTGTTTACTTATTCAAAGTAGGCTATACATGTAAGTAGCTACACATTCCACCACTTACATTCAAGGTGCTAACAGGTGGTTATAACAACAACTTCATAAAGGAGTTAAATACTTAACTTTTGTTTTGGACACTTTTAATAGTCCTGACATTTAGTTGAGTCCATGAAAACAATGTTTGAGTCTGCATAAGGTGCAATTTGTATCTTGCAGCGAATACCTGGCCTTTAACCCATGACGTCAGTCAGGCACCACCCTAGATGGAAACCCCCCATGTATGTGGGTACGGCTGTCATCTGTGACGCAGGCTGAAATTGAAGGAGTTTGTACCTTTTTTGTGCCAAATGGCTGTAATATGCAACTGAAAGAATGGTCACTGATTTCATTGCTGATTTTGGCAGGCCTCCTGGTATGTTACCCTTTTTTTTATAGTTACTGGTATGCATTTCTGCATGTCTATACATGTTCATTATCCATTCATTGCTGTGCAGTACCATAAGGCTTAAAAACATTTTGTTCCATTTAACAGCAAGGAATTCCTTTACTTCTGTAATGTTATGTATTCAACTGCCTTGCCCATTGACCTGAAATCCAATCTAAATATACTTAAATGCTGTTCTTTTGAACAGGGGTAAATAAGCCTATCAAGTTTACACAGTAACACTCATGGGAACCTAGCCACCTGCTGCATTAACAAATGCTTATGAAAAGTAACTACTTGTACTGTAAGGTTTCCCAAGTTTTCCCGTACAGTAGCTTGTCTTAACTTTATAGTAGTGGATTATAACACAAAGTATAATTACTTATTGCAGAATGTTTTGTCAGTGTACTATTATTGGCCCCATAAACTACATACGTATGTAATTTAGTATGTAAACAAGCTTGTGACCAAACTAAGTTAGCTCGTTACATTGCTAGCAGACTAATTATGGTGTTTTTGTCTTTTCAACTTAATTGTGCTTGCCAGGATACAAACGGTAAATTCTGAACTTTATTTTGCTATTGTGCTACATGTACATATGGTGACATTTTTACAGGATTAATTAATAATGATGTCAACAGAATGATACTTGGCAATGAGTAGTAACAGTTAGTACTCTAAATCTGTCCCAATACTGAAAAACAGTATACTATTTTAATAGGAAGTTTGTTACACTGGCCCTGTAGTATAACTTCAATCTCAAGATCATTTTACAAATGTACATGACATGACATGACTTATATTCAAGACTGTGATGACGGAACCTTTCAAATACCATTGTTATACTCATGCATCATACTTGTCACCTTAATTACATAAAGACAAGCTATAGGCAAAATTGACAAATGCCATACATTTGTGACGTTATTTGTCTACTAGTCTAGGTTTTTTGATACAATGTATGTAAGCATATTGCCATGTATGTTGATGACCACAATCTGGTGACATTTTAGGGAGCTGCTGCAGTAGAGTGTGATGACCAACACCACCTGGTTAATGGACTCTGCTGTATCAAATGCCTCCCAGGTATTATATGAAAACTTGTCATCTGACTCAGAAATAATTTTTTATTGAAATTGGAGATGATTATAGAATATTAGTGATAAATGTATTTAAATTTTTTAAAACAATTCTGGAGTTACTGTAAGGCCTATGAGAATAAATGTTTTTCTGTTTTTTAAAAAATATTGTCAGTAGGTTGGAGTTGTACATGTCTTTTTTTTTTAGATTTCGGCTGAACTTTCCTATGTTATGTTAACTAAAATACATTGGAACTGCTTGCTTGTGGCGAATAGAGACAAATATTTCACCTGATTTACTAAAAAAAAATTGTTTGCCTCTGAAAAATGTGAAATGAGATGATTTCAGAGGGTTTGAAATTCAGATAAAAAAATGTACATTGTAAACCTTGCGAGCAGATGTCTAAATGCTAGGGTCAGTGGCCAGTGGTCAATAGAGCTGTTGGCCGCTTTTCTTCTGATTTGCAGTTACTGGAAAGTAACTGGCCTGCACTTCAACATTGTACAATGTATGTTCCTCAGGGTTTTACAAAGACAAGGACTGTGATGCTGAAAGCCCCACTAAGTGCTTGCAATGCCCAGGGGGAACATACACCGAGTTCCTGAACTACATTGAAGAGTGCTTGGTCTGTGAGCACTGCTCTGAAGACCATGGCATTGAGGAAAAAAGGCCCTGTCTGCCTACACAGAACAGAAAGTGCCGCTGTATGGATGGGTTCTTCTTGGAGCCATCTCTTATTCTAGGCCAGAATGCCGACATGTGCCACAGGCACCAGGAGTGTCAACCCGGAGAAGGGGTAGTTGAAAGAGGTGGGTCATACTCAAGATAATGCAGACTTCTTAAAATTGATGTAAAGTTATCCTGTACTGTAGCACACAGAACTAATATTGACCAACAAACCATTGCAGTAGTGTTTTGATCCATATACATGTATAACAGAAATTGTGCAAACAACAAAACTTTAATTGGATTTGTCTCTAACATTGTTATCTTGTTCTGTCAATTTTTTATACACAGGAACAAGAACATCAGACACAGTGTGCACTCCCTGTGCTGTGGGCACATTTTCTGACCAAGGCTCCAGAACCCAGAAATGTGAAGACTGGACTGAGTAAGTTTACAGTAGAGCATTCCATGCTAAAGAACTCTAGGCCATACATTCACATCAGGTTCCTCCAATTCATAACTGCATACATATCACTCCATTCCAATTATATGAATAAGAAATGCAACATTGTCTAGGAAATCAAATAGCAGACTGTTACCTACATGTATGTTTTCTGTTGCAACAGAGGGATTGTGTTAAAGTTTCTTGAAATTAAATACAATGCATATTATCTATGAAATCAATACATAAAACCAATCAGAAAACCAACAACAAAAGAATAAGAGGAAAATAAAATTCTAGTATAAGTAATAGAATGTTCCATTCTTGTTATATATATTTCAGTGTAATATGCACAATACAACTTTTAGCTGTCAGCATTTACAACAGTTGCAACTACATTCATGTACATGTATATCCTTCCTTCTTATGTACCATTAGCTGTGAAAGTTTGGGACTGAAGCTGATAATACCAGGCACAACAGATCGGGACACAGTGTGTGGCTATGAATTTCTACCCTCCACAATGTCAAGTGCTAAGACAGCTCAAACACCGGTACCACCAACATCTTCAAGCTATGCTACTGTATCTGTGACAAGCGTGAAGGATGCAGGTAGGTGACAATACATTTGTCTTTTTGTTAAACACAAACATCAAGACTGAGAGCCAGAATTCTGTGGTCATTTAGTGGCACATCAGAATTTCTCTGAAGGACATGTAGAGTTACATACATGTATATCTACATGTATATTTTCTGTACTAATTTTTTTGTATACATTAAGTCATGGATAGCAAACATTTTTTTCAAATAACAAGCTAAGTATAATTGTTTCATAATATTGCACTCTTCAGCAGTCTTTGTTAATTTTGTGAAATAAAACAGGATCAGCATGGCAGACCAAGTCAGAGGAAAATGGGCATGCAACAACCAGTGGCAACAAGCATACAGACCATAGAGGCAGCAATCACACCATCGCTACTGTGATAGGTGTGGTTGGTATCTTCTTGATCATCGTCATATTGGTGGTGGTATGCATTGTAGGATTACATCTCCATGGTTATCTCCAATGTGCAAAGAAGAAATGTACAAGTAAGTTACTCATATTGAGTATTTCATCACCTTTAACATTTCTGAAATCTACTGTGTACCACTAAACAATGCTCTACATCTCACTACAAGACTGTAGTTCCAGTCAAATATTTCTATGATGGACAAGTTCTGCTTGTAGATGGAAACAATTCTAGGTATCTTTTAATAATAGATGAATCTTAACACAGAGTCTAAATCTGCAAAAGTGTACTAAAATGTATTCAAGTGTAAATACTGGGACATCGATCTTTTCATGGTTTCAGTTTTGCCATCCATATGGCATGCATTTCTTAACTTATCAATAAGTCGATTTCAGTCACGGTATCTTGCAAAATTTGTATTAAATTTTTACATCAAGCTCTCTATATTTTGAACTTTAAGAATATATTATGTTAGTTTGAAGTTCATATTCTAGACTAAGTATTCTTCCATTTCACAGGCGGGCCAGGAATCACCTACAGAAATTCTGCATACAGCCCAGTTACTGATTCTGGGGACACAGTTACTGTCACAAATGTGAGTACATTATTTGTTGTCTTGCCTTTTTATTGACTTTTCTTGTTCACCATGTGAAATAAATGCCAGGTATAACAAACAAGACAGAATGTATGTGTGTTTAGTTGATATGTTTCTACATACCTACATGTACAAGACCTTAAATCTGTAATATTATTGTTGTGCTACATGTAACATATTTTGGTCCTTCAGAATTACATCCATCTACATGTATAGAACACTTGGTCTAGTCTAGTGTTCTGGCTGACTGGCTCATGCATTTGTACTAGTAATACATCCTGTATAAATCTTTTATCAACTTATATAGGAAAGTGAAAATGGCAGAGATCTAGAAGAAACAGCATGTAAACATGTAAGAGGACAGTGGCCAACTCCCCCTCCTGCAATGGAAGCCCCACATACTTTACAAGTTCCAGCTGGACCATCAGGCCAGAATGAAGGTGAGTCGTGCTAAATTTAGTAGTATTGCATTTGGTCATAATGGCACGTTAGCTAATGAATGCTTTGTATATGTTCTTGTCATCATCATCATCTTCCTATTGTATGATACAAATCAAGATATTCAACATTAACAAGTGTTTCATTCAATAAGTTTAATTGGAAAGTTTGCATGGACACATCTCTATAATTAATTCCATTTGCTTAGTAAGTACTAGTAGATCTACATTTACATTTACATGATAGCTTCTAAACTGGTTTGTTACTAATCACAGAATCCAAGCTGTAATTGCACACATATGCACTTTGCTAGCAATAACATGTGAAATCTGTCTTCTGTTTATTAAAGGGCAAGAACAGCAACCTTCAACTTCTGATGGCAACACTCGGCAGATTTACTTAAATGTTCAAGTCACTAATAACAGTCATCAGGTCATAAACAACACCACAAAAAACACCACTGTGCATGACAATAGTACTAATGTTCAAGATTGTGGAACTGCATCTTTTGGAAACAACAACACCTTTAATGTTGACACAAGCATGACTGATAGCAGCACTGTGACAAAAGTGGAAGGTAATAGTGGTGGTGTACAAATTGGCGAAAAGAATACCATGTAATAAAAGTACCTGAAGATTATACATTGAGGTCAGATCTGATATCAGTTATGATAATTTTTTTGCTTTGAAAATGTAATGCTACTTTTAAAATTGTAGCTTTAGCTTGAAAATTGTTAGTGTATTCAGTCAACGACTTTATATAATGTCAAGTACTTAATAGCAAAATAGTAGATTAACAATTTAGTTGACTTCACACTTTGCTGTACATGGCTATTTTCTTTGTTACTTATCTTAACAAATCTCTTACTATGTATCATTATGTTGACTTTAGGTTTCAACAATTTGTGTTGTGTATCAAATATCAAGTATGTTGGTTACTAAAACATTATGCTTAGCCATACATGTGTTATAGTAATATTTAGTAATATGTAATATCTGTGTAAGAGTTGAATTAATTGTACTGTATATGAGGATTACGAAGTAAGTGCTAGCAGGATTTAGGATTTAATGATAATTGCTTATTGCTTGTTGCATATGAATACAATTTTTATGTAAATGTTCCCTATACCTGTGGTCAAAAACCATAACAGATATTCCTTAAGATCTATATTACTTGAATGTGCAAAAGTTTGCAAACCAGTGCATTACACATTTACACCATGAGATGAAAAGTTCAGGTCAACAGACTGTTAGGTTGAATCAGCTGCTCACATATAGAGAATATGGACTGTAAATTTTCTGTTTTAAATTCTGTATTGGTTGTAAAGTTTATAAGAAACTCAAATGTTGAGTTAAAGTATTAATCATAATATGTAATGTCATTAAACCAGACTCCTGTATGGCACTCATCTGTAGTTGTTAAATCTATCGTGGTAGAATGAAGGTTTAGTTTAATAGAATTCCAGTATTAGGAATTCCAGAATTCCAGAAGTGCAAGTGCAACATAAGTTAATGTTTTTGCTTGGCTACAATGTACATTGTACAAGACAAACTGTCAATAAAAGAAAAGCATTGTTTTTAATATGCGGTCAAATTGCATTTCCTGCACATTCACTTCTCAACGAAAGTTTTACCATCGACATTTAGTTGTACGTAGTTAAGTTAAAGCATACTGGGATTTCAAAGAGCTTGGCTTGATATCCAAAAATTTAAGTAGTCTGAAATACGATTAAGATAGATCAAAATCTATATAATAATAAACAAGAAGCCATAGGCGACAATTCTCCGTGAAGTATTATATATTGCAACAAAAAGAAGTAGCCATTGGCGACAATTCCCTGTGAAGTGTGATAAATCGAACAAAGAAAAATTGTTTAAACGCGCGTCGGCTCAGTCATCTTAAGACGCAACAACCAATCAGAGATGCGAGATGCCTACACGTGACGCGGGAAGGGCGCGCGATGCCCGAAATATTTTTGCGTCAATATTCAGCGCCGTGATTCAAGAGATTAATACCCGGAAACAATTTTTTTCTTGTTTTGAACGCATTAACATGCATTTACGCTAATCTAGTATGATTCAGGGTTACTTTTTTTTTAACCTGCCATGGCCAGATTATCTAAAGATGTGTGTATTGTGTGTACAATCTATAGAAAGAGAAATGTACATCAGGTCCGATCATCCGATTTTCACGTTTCGGTTTTTTGGACTCGGTTCATGAACGTATTTTGGTTTGGCTCCTGGAATGTGCGAAAAAAATGACTCCCGGGACTGTCTACAGGGAACACTCGCACATTCGCGGTGTATCAGGACAGCGCGACTGGTCGTCATTAGCGCAGTAACAGTTGCATAAACGGACGAAACCATTTCAAAGAAATGGGGATGTTTCGAAAATAAGCATTTACTCCAATATCAAAACAGCTACGGTAAAAATAAAAAGACGTGCATCATCCCGGACATAATGCAACACCACATGCGAAATTACACAGAAATGCGACGTACGGAAGAATGCGTTTTGGCTGCGAACATCTTCCAAAAAACTTGGCATCTCTTAACCATGGGCAAAAACATCTGGAACCACTTATAAAAACCACCCCGTATCTGCATGAACTTTTTTGAACCCCACTGCTATTCCAAACAACGCGTTTTTCTGGACCATTCCAATTCGCCTCGTAATTGTAGGGGTGCGTCTGCGATATTACATTGACCGCGAAAGCAGCAACGGCAAAAATACACATTCGTGCATCAACACGGGCATGCCCGCAGACGGCGTATAAAATTGCGTGCCGATTACACAAAGAGAACCCAGTGTTTTGACTGCGAACATGAAAAATCAGCCGATTACAACACTCCGTCCGGAGGTCCTGACCTCCTTCACGGAGTAAAAAACAAATATACCGTTATATATTCGGCGAATCTTGGAGGGGGATAATATACATGTAACTTGTGTTAACTTATGACTATCTGGATATTTGAGCTGAGATATAACTTACCTTCGCAGCTTTTGACTTTACGCGTATATCAACATCATATAAACACTCCGGAGGGTAATAGTCTTTAAACAATTGATAATTTTCGCTCTGGCCAATTGCCAGACCATTCCATCCTATTAAACGATCGAGATTTTTGCAGACCACACAAGGTAACGGTATCGTTACTTCCGGATTTGGAGATTTGGCGGGAAAATACCGCAGCCAAACAAAAAATACGAAGAAGGAACTATACAATTCTTCCAACTTTATGCCACACAACACAGAAAATGTGTCTTTTGCACTAAACATATGCATCAGGTTTTGTTTTAAAAAATATTAGTGTAAAGCTGCATGTTTTAAGTTACTTGGGGTATACCGTTTTGATGCTTTCAGGTCAAAGGTTACATTTTGGCGCGAAGAAAGGGGGCGGGGCGGATCCGGGTCCTCAGGTTTGTGCAGCTTTGTCCCATTGTCTTTTTCATGATATTGATAACAATTCGTCAATAATGTGGTCCTTTTCAACATGCAGGATGCCGTCATTGTTTATGTTGATACCGTTGTTATTCTCGATACCTACTATGGGGACCACCATAAATTTGGTAGTTTTTAGTGCAAAATTCCAAAACCGACCTGACTTCTGCATGCTCCAGTTAGCTGTGAATGACATTACTAACACAACAGAGGTCACTCAATCACTGAACATCTGCTTGAGCTAGACTGTGAGTGGTTTTAATTTTTTTTGTCGGGTTTCATTTCCTGATATCAAATGCATAACAGTGTAACACCAACAACATGCTTCACAGTTCAACGTTCTAACACATGTCACGAATTCAGTCACAGTAGCTAGATCAGTGTAATGCTACTGTAGTACTGTTACATAACAGTTACTGTGGATGTACAGCCTGCTAAACAGTATTGCCTCAGAGACAGATATAAATATATATAGGCAGATTCCTATGCCTCAATGTACATATTAAATAGCTATGTACCTGGAGGGATAGGAATCACAAGTACATGATTGTGCAAGTAAACACTGCTGCACTTCATAAGTATTTTAATAGCTCTTAAAAAGAGCTGCAAGTCATTGATTCAAGTTGGGTGTAGTTACATTTTGTTTAAAGTAAGAATGTTTCAACTGTCATAAAATGAAGTTAAGTCTAGTGTTTGGATTGAACAGTTAAGTAAACAAACAGGGACCCCGTAACACACCATTTAGTAGTTCCAAATTGAATCCTGTCCAGTTTACAAGGTTTCTAAAGCTTATTTTACCTGATTAACTGTACCTAAGTGTAAGAATAGGTTCAGACATGAGTTTGGTTGGCCATTTGCACATAACAAGGTGCTTTCGAACCCTGGATGTCACAGCACTGTGTACCAATAGCAAAGTACCCTGGGTAGGAAACTGGTTAGGGGGGGGCTTTCCAGTAACGCATGCGTACTAGCTAGCTACATGTAGCATCTGACTCTGAGTGAAGCATTGCAGATTGCAGATCACTGTCCAGAAATCTGACAGCTACCACCTGTAGATTAGATAGAACTTCAGCCTCAGGGATATGAGACTCAGTGTTCTACATGCCCGTGTGCTGATTGTTCTTCTGTCAGTTCAGAAGGTGAGTGTTCATCCGTGGAAGGTTTGTTGACGAGCAGTTTGTTTGGTGTGTCACCTACCTATGTGTGACTTCCGGAAGGAAGTGCGCAGTCATGTTTGTCTCCATTTGTCATGATGTTTACTGTCCTTAATCAGGGTACACCATTCATTTGTTTCTAAAACATACAGCTAGGATATAGGACTTAGTAAGGTTATGTAGAGCCAGAGTTCACCATAAGCTCATGTTTGGAGTCACTCACAACATGATAACACTTGGATTTACACACTGATCAGGTCATGGTAATGTGCACGTCGCTTTGATTCATTACTAATGGTGGCCAATTCTGATTACATTCTTTTCCACTATCAAAAGGACCTTGCAATATGGAATCAATTTACGGGGACATGTAAATGTGTGTTGTTAAAATATGTCTGGCTTAATTTAAGTTAAAATGGTGTATTGTTGGGCTAGAAGAAAGAAATAATGCTCAGTAATATTATTTGTTTTATTTATTTGTTTACTTATTGTCTTGGCTGTTTGGCTTAAGTCAGGGCTGCCCAAAATAGCCTGTAGACATTGCAAAGGGCTAGCCCTGCTGACAAAGACATTAGACATTGTAATAGAGTTTGACATGGACAACATAATGCTAACTATGCTAGTCTATAACATTATTCTGGGTAGTGGGTACATAAAGCCAACTTGAGTAATGTGTAATGGCTTTGTTCTCTTATTTAATAGGCTTAACATGATCTATTAATGTTAATGAATGTGTCTCCACAATATGATTGAAATATAACTTATGAGAAGATATTTCCTAAATGCCTCCAAAGATTTATATTTCATTGTTGAAGAAGGCTTGGAAATCAATTGTTGATTAAGAGCTGTGATGATTATTTTATGGGTAACATTGCATTAACTATCACTTTCATGTATGTTATTATTCCTATTATTCCATTATTATTCCTGTTTATGGAACTTGAAGGAGGATTACAGTAGGAGCAGAAAGTGGTAATGATCTAGATTTCTTTAGATGTTGTGTTTGGCTAGCTGTACAAGTGAAAGACAATTTGTCACCATTGAAAAAAAATGCAAAAACCTTTCAGTAGCTCCACTTTTATCTCTTTATGATTATGTATAATAATTTTTTTCTTCCATTTACATGTAGGTACACCCATTTGCTTGATGTTTTGATGAAGTTGTTATCAGTATTAATAAAATATGCATAAACATGTACATGTATGTCTTAGGCTAAAAATTAGTTATAAAACATAACCATCCTTCTTCAGACATAGGCTTCACTTATGATAGAGCCAATTGCTCACCTGATATATGCCATGTATACACATGTATAGCTACAAGATGTGGCTCAATATTTCAAGAGATGGCCTGCTTGTCTACAAACTGTGGTTTAAGCTGCATTTTTGTGAATTCACTTTTTTTTCTTTTCAGGCCAAAGCTCCTCACAAAACATGCGATGAGACTACAGAGTATTCCCATGGCCAACTCTGCTGCAAGAAGTGTCCTGCTGGAACATATCTGAAACATGACTGTGACCAAGACCACGGTACAGCAAGCTGTACCAAATGCCCCCCAGGCACGTACACTGCACATAACAACCACCTGCGTGATGGCTGCCTGGTGTGCGACATTCCATGTGATTCATCATTTGGGTTTGTAGAGGTATTAGATTGTCAACCTCATCATAACCGACAATGCCGCTGCAAGGAGGGAATGTACAAGCATCATGAAGTTTGTGTACTAGACCAGAAACCCTGTCCACCTGGGCAAGGTGTTGTCAAAAAAGGTATGTTAATTCATTTGAATGTTTTGCTGAATGAAGCTACATGTAACACAGCATGTTTTGATACCAGAAGGTCTACATCAATAAGATAGTGTCTACAGTATCTACAGCATCAGAATATACATGTACAAGGTATACAAGGAAAGTTTGTAATTTGAGTGTTGTCAATTTACTTTATACAGTTATACAAGTTGCATACTTAAGGACTTGTGGCAGACTCCATTGGAAATTGAGTATGAAAACTGTTTTTAGAATCTGAATTCTGTTCATTCTGATTTATAATACCATGCAGGTTCTACCAGGACACACCCCGTATGTGAGGACTGCCCACCAGGCACGTTCTCGAGTAAACCATCCCTGACTAAGGCATGTCGAACTTGGAGGAAGTAAGTCTAATGCATATTATATTATTTTGCTTGAAACTTGACAAGTTGTCTCAGTTAGATATCATCATTCCCGTGAGAAATGAATTATTTTGTCAAATAAGTAATAAATATCTTAGCTGAACCGAATAGGAATGCTGTACTGAGAATCGCCACAAGTTAGGCACTAATTACATACTAAATATCTACTTTGTTCAGCTGTGCAGCGCTGGGACGGGAAACAAAGAGAGTTGGAACATCAACCAGTAACGCAAAGTGTGGAGGTCCTCTTGTTCTCCAGCAGACAGAGCCTCTCACTACTGCTATGCCAGTGACACCAGTTGAAACTTCTGTGGCAGCTAATAGTACAACAGTCACTACAGCTAGACCAGCTGGAAATGTGATGTTGCCAACACCCAAACCTCCACAGACAACTCCAGATGCTGAAAGCATTACAGGTAAAGAACTATTCTTTATACAATGTATGTCATGTAGTTCTATTACAACGCTACTTTTTACCTTTGTGAAGACAGCCATTTTTTATGTGATGGCAATTTAGGGCCTGACTGAAAAGCAAAATACATACAAAACTTAAGGAAACATTAAAATACTGAAAAAAATAATTAGTTGTATTTTAATTGTCCCTAACTTGTGTCGTAGAAGTGCTGAGGACTTTAACTCTATTCAAAATAAATGTCTTGTTCTTTCATGGTACTAAGTAGAGCTTTATATTTTTAATCATCAGCTAAGCTAACTACTGAAGAAGATGACACCAGTGTGAGGCAGGTGCCAAAGGACGACAGGAACAATGACATCAAGAACGTCATCAACCAACACTCCCAATCTGCACAATTGCTGGCACTCGTCTTCATTGGTGCTGCCATCCTTCTGATCATTGTAATCACTTTGGTTTGGAAAAAAGTGAAGAAACAACTACAAAGGAGAAGGCAGGGTAAGATGTTCCACTTGAAAAGTGTCCTGAGCAAAATGCCTCATGTTTACTAGAGTCTGTGTCTGAGTAGTAGTGTCTGAGTGAGAAATAATAAACTTGTTGCCTTTCTTTACTGGTTACATCATACCTCAGTATTGAACGTTATCGATATAGCTAAATGGAGTGCTTTCTTACTTACTGTTTCTTTATCTTTTACTGATAAAACCCTGCTTCTGCAGGTGATGTCACCATTAACAAGGTGCAGGCTCGACAGCAGCTACATGACCCACAGGATGCGCAGGTAGATAGCCTATCTTAAAAACATAAATTTATTATATGTCAAACGTAGTATAATCTTTTGAGATTGGAATTATACTACAGTGATAAAAAGTTATCACATTTATCACATGGTCTAGATTGGCAATCAAAGGAAATTTCAATGTTTTAAAAGTTCTCTCTGTTGTACTGTTTACATATGTTGATATGTACACTTATTCTTGTAGAAACATATTCCATCTGAGTGAAGTACAGTAGTTAAGTACATTTTGTATTGTGCTGTTAAGCAGCAAAAGATAATGTTTGATTGTCATGTTCTTTATGCATTCATTTAACACTATGTTACTGGTTGGTGCTAATGCTTAGGGTTCAAGCGAGGAAGGTGCTGTGATGAGTGGTCAGGTATCTGCAGAAGATCAAAGACAGATGAACATGAGTCAGTCAGCCGGTGATGCATCTGTGGGCACTGTGCAGCTACATGCAGCAAACCCTGAAACTAATCAGTCGCTGCAGCCAGTTGGTATGTATGGTGCTATATTTGTCCACTAGTACTAACATAATTCCTCCCGTTACATACTAGTACATGTACAATGTATATTTGCTACCCAAGGAAATGTTTTAGGAAGAGATCTTAATGGAAAAGTTTAAGAGCCTTGTCTCCATGGAGCAAGCAATAAAGTATAAGCGACCCTGCTACTCTGCCTTATAGTCTACATTTTGTACACATAGTTATGTAGGTTATCAAAAATTTGGGATTCAGCCAAGGACTGTATATTACTGCATGTACTTAGATAGTAAATGGTGGTACATGTACTAACATATGAGGACATATGGCTTTGTAGTAAATATTTTGTTGGAATAAGTAAGTGGCAGTCAGGCATTCAACTTTTTTCTGCTATGTTCCTTCAACAGATGCAACCATGATCCGGATGCAGGAAGGTGCTACAGTTGTTGATGCCAGACGACAGCTTGTGATCTACTCGCAGTCGACTACAATACAGCAGAATAATGATTTTGGAAGCCCAAACAATGTGCAAGTTGGACAGGGTAACACAATTAATGTTGCCACAGAGAACTGTGAAGCTCAGGCTGAACAGTCTGATGAAGAGTAAAGATTGTGAATTTTCTTTTAAGATTTAAAAAAAATGATTGTAACATTTAAGCCGGGGGGGGGGAAGATTGTTAAATCCAAGCCAGTTTAAATCATTCCTAAATCCTTCCTGTTACTAAAGTCAGTTCTTTGTATCTTGGATTCCTGGTGCCAACGAAATAGTGTACAGGTGTACAGAGAATTTGTATATTTTGTAAAGTGTTACTTACATTTAGAAGTCATATAAGACACATTAACATACATGTGAAGAAGAAGGAAGGTTTTTTCCAATAGTAACAAGAATAGTGCAAGGTTTTTTATGTACTTTTAGTTGTATTGTGTAAATAATAAAGGCACCATATGGATATCAAAGATGTTTGTCAAAGATGTATGTAAAGAAAAATGCCTCATCAAGTATAGTAGCTGTGTATACATTTGGGAATACAACTTTCTTGTATACATGTAGGTATACCCATTTGCTTGATGTTGTTATCAGTATTGATAAAATATGCATAAACATTTACATGTATGTCTTAGGGTAAAAATTAGTTATAAAACATAACCATCCTTCTTGAGACATAGCCTTCTATTATTAAGATGCCAATTGCTTGCTCAACTTATAATTAGGTTCTTTGTCAGTGAACTGTGGGTACGTACCCCCCAAAAGTATGTAGTGTACCCAAGTTGCAATTAGTCGCCCGGTTACCTTTGTATGTAACATGACTCTATATCATTGTATTGGCTATTCAGTAGATGCCACTTACACTGTCATCCTTTACTGTTGTGTACTGTCAGATGTATATTGTATATAGTGGTTGACATTTGATAGCATTGAAACATTAGTACATGAATATTCAGTTCATTTGTTTTGTGTGAGAGAGAGAAAGAGAGGGGAAGATGTCAGTGAATACATGTTCATGTTTTCTGTATAACAGATTAGATGATAAGCTAAGTGGTGTATTGGTGAACACAAGTGGGAAGTGGAGATGTGCCTTTATTGTCTGTTAAGGATACTATAATGATTCCAATGAGCCTATGTTACAAAATGAACATTTACTTTCGTGTAATGTTTCTATAGTGTTGCACCAATACTGTATGTTCTTTCTTGGCATAACTTATGTAGCAGACTGCAGCCCTTGGACAGGTTGGTGATATTTTTTAGTTACACTGATGTAATTATTGTGTCCAAAATGAATGAATTGTGCTGTATGTTATCAAGTTTGTTTCTTCTATTTAACTTGTACACAAAAAATTCTTTGTTCACATTTGGTATAAGACTTGTATTCAATTCTCAACTTACTGTGTATGATTCTGAGTACATAGTGATGATAAAATCTTGAACTGCATACATTTCATTTGTGTTGCTGTTAGATTTGTTCCAATATCTTTATGATCAAACATTATGACAGACTTTAAGAGACATCAGGTTTTCTTTCCCTCTACCGTTTTCAGCCTCTGTTGGTTGATGAGCGCCGCCGTGCTCCCAAATTCAAACTGCCGTGTCAGTTTAACTCCCGACATCCTCTCCCAACTGTCACCCTGCGCGTTGTACACCCATATCCCATCAAGCACCTGGTGGAACCTCACTCCTCCACAGACGTACAGTTTCCCGTCTATAACCGCCACTCCTGCTGAACAACACTCCTCTGGTAGTCTCGCTCCCAGCCGCCATCTCTTCTTCTCAACGTTATAGATCTCTACTATATCCATCTCCTCAATGTAGTCTGTTCCCCCGATTACATAAACCTCTCCGTTCAGTACCGCAGCGCTTGCCCTTTTCTTCATGACCATCAGAGTGGGTATTTCCGTCCAGGCTGACACCGCCGTGTCGTAACAAAGTGCGCGGTTGGTGATCCCTTTCCTGGATCCACCGGCAAATCCGCCCATGACGTAGATCTTCCCGTCCAAAGCGACCGCGCAGTGATCCGACAAAGGGTAAGGCATGGGCTTCGCGTCAGTCCAAGCCTCATTTTCCAACTCGAATACCTCCACTAAGTCGTACCTTCCTGATCTATACGAACCCCCAAGAGCGTATATACATCCTTCTATCGCTACTATAGAAAAGTTAGACCTAGGGTGCGACATGTTGGGCTTCTGTGACCACATGTTATGTACACAGTCATACTCCCAAAACTCATCGGACGGTCGCCATCCCGAAGAGGAATGTAGGTCTTGTACAGTTCCTCCAGCCACGTACAAAAAACTCCCGTAGAACGTACACGCCATGTTACTGAGACAGAACGCGTCCTCGGGTGTAGGTACCGTACATTTGGTCTTGTTGACTGGGTCGAAACAAAAACAGGTGCTACAGTACTGTATGTCTCCCATATCTGTGTACTGCTTCCCTCCAATGATGAATATAGTATTGGCTTCCTTCATACCATGTCTAGGGCTGTCCTTACAAGCAACACTACAAGCCGAGCCGCTAGATTCATCCAAGACTTGCGTGGCCCCAGCCTGTTCTATAAAACTCACGCACTCTGGCGAGGACGACAGAAGATCGTCCGTGGCGAGTTGTTCATCTAGGTAAGAACGATCCATTCTCGTTAACCTGACTTCTTTGATGAGTTTTGGCGCGCTTTCTGCTCTGGACTGCGGCAAATGTTTGATCCATCTCAAGGCGGCTTCGTACACGTCTTCTTCTTTCTGCACGTTTAGATCGTCACTGGCTAGAAGTTCAGACACCTGGTCCTGGTCGAGGTCCAGGAATTCTTCCTTTTGAGACACCAATATGAAGTGATCCTCTATGAGCTCCTTGCAAGACTTCTTGAGATCGTCGCAGTTGTGAAGGGAGGCGAAGAAGTAGAACTTGACACAGTTGTCGACGTTTAGTTTGTCCATGATGTGTTTTGCGCAGGCCCTGTGAATGTTTGACAAAAGTGTTCTTTAAGGGGAATTTTAAAGCTTATAACATCTCCATTTATTCTTGTAAGCACAAATTCAGTATTTGAATACATTAAGCTGATGATTAGAAAGGTTTACACTAAAAGGTGTATATATTACCTTCGAAGGTTTAGAATCTGAAACATGTCGGCGGCTGACAGAAGTTCCTCTATGGTGGTCTTGTACGTGTCTCGTGGGTCTGGTGCCTTTGCCGCCTCCAGGATGGGAGGTATTTCCTGAAACTCTACTTTGCCTAGGAAAATAAAGACACTCACTGTTAACAGAAGAAACACATTCAGCTCCATGCCCTGAAAACTATAGGTACAGGTATTATAGGAGCCCCTACGTTTTAAATGTGTCATGTTGACTCCACTCCTGAGACGTCACCCTAAACCCAAAGCCAATGTGATGATACCAAAGCGCTGTTAGAACTGCCCTCTAGCGAGAAAAAGAAGTATTTCAAGTCAAAAGCCTTGTGCAAAAAGACAGTGGACAACGTACTTCTGAAATCTGTGTAGGATGAAAGAAATAGTCTCACCTGTGTAGGCGAAGTTGACAATCTGTTCCAAGGTACTGTAGCTGACTCCGTACACTGGAACCTCCTTCCGGTAATGTTCCGCCATGTCCATGGTGAACATCAGACGGAAATACTGGCTGTAAAAAGAAATAATTGCCATGATACGCTTCTATATGTGCGCTTCTTGTGTCAAACGTAGGATTTCATAACTAGATATGTTGACGGCACATTTAAGTTATATCAACCTACTTTATACCGCCACCAATACAGAGGACAAATACAGTACAGGCCATTACTCATTTAATTAGTTCCTATTTCAATTAGTTGCCATCTATTAACACCCAAAACCTTATTGTGTCTTTAGTGCATCTATTAAACACAAGACAACGTAACAGCGCTATCATATCGTCACAATAAACCGTGTTTAGATTGGTAGCCCTTATAAACCACGTCTTTTTCTACTTTTAATGCAAAGGGGAGTGGCAAATAATTAAATATGGATGTTATCCTCATGGACTTATAAACCAGAAACCAAGGATTACAAAGGTGTTAATTTTGTCCCGATATGTCATTGCTACGTAAAATTATGAGCTTTTTTTTGGTTTAGATAGCTAGCTCGCCCTTACCTACACGTGACCAGCACACACCGGTGACAGTGAAGCTCACGTCCATCTACACATAGCGTGACGTCAGTCATAACCTCTTCGTCGCGCATGCGCATGAGCTCTTTAAGGAGATGTCTCTCCTGCGACGAACTCATATCAATAGTCATGTTGTCTTGGAAGTCCTGTTTCCTACTTTTCTGGTGGTCGGGTTTCTTTGAAATATATTTTTGTCACAGCTCACTGTGAAGGCAAATCAGATAGGCCGTTAAGCACATACTACTTACTAAGTACTAGCATGTCTACAATTTTCTTACAAAATAGAAATATATTTAGCCCTCCCCTCACACAACATTACACCCACTGTTGTAATGGTAGCAGAAATATCATAGATGAAATACTGAATAGATATGAACTATGCTATATCAGATGCGTTGTAAAGCACATCGATGTAATTCTGCACAGAGTAACGATTGTGACATAAATGGACAATGACATAAAGAACGTGCTAGACGGATTACGGTTATACGAGTATGTATTGTTGGGTTACCTCAGTTCATACGACACACAATCACCTAGTTAACAGCTGATATGGATACATAAGCTTACCGATTGTCCTTTACAGATGTTCCGGATCATGTTGGGTAGATATCTTGTTTGTCTGAAGTGTTGAACGTTAGAAAGCTGCGTACACTGACCTTGGCAATGTTACGTCAAATACAACATTTTCATTGGTGCCCTGGCGTCAATGTGTAACATGATACGTCCCAGTCTGGGAAGGGACAGACCATTGTACTTTGGGGTAGATGTGGCAGGGGGCGCTTTTCTCGTTTTCTAAGCCACCTCAATGCACTACAACGCTTTAAAGACCGATACATTGATCTTAACTATGCTGAGTTAAGAGAGTAAAACGTATGTATTCACCATATCAATGTTAACGGAGTGTTCTGTAGGAGTAATGTACAATCCCGTACTCCATATGCCGGCTGTCAATCAAATCTTTATATATAGACAACTGTCCTGTATAAAGGACAGCTGTTATGATTATCAACACCCTGTCTCCTTATCTAAATATATGCTTATGTATGCGCATCTGTCCATATAAAACTGAGGAGGGGCGGCGGCGTTGTTTTTTGAGTTTGAGTGGGAGCGTCCAATAGATGTAGTTGTTCTGTGGTCTATAGATGGCAAATGTAGCTACATAGGGAAGAGTGTAAGTCTTCAAGTTGAATACAGTGAGCATAGGGAACACATACATTCTACATGAATGTTCCCTACATGTATAGAATGGCTGTCTTCGTCATATCTCAGCTTAACCCCCTCGTACTTAACATTGATAGGTGCATTGTGGTTCAAATTCAGTCATGACAATTTGTCAGTAAACACCATAGTGTTGACGTACCAATGACGCACACTTAACTAGAATTACATCGAATCGGACGTATCAATTAGAATTAAACCACAAATTGAAAGTGCTTCAATGCGTGAATATGATTTTATTTTACTTCCCCGCTATATAAATAATCTCCCTTCCTTACAAATAACAAACTACAATTCTCAACAAAAGTCCATATACAACAAGTTAAGCTTATGGATACAAATATTCACACTACTTGTAACTTGTGTAAAATCTTGTACAAAATTTCAGTCGCGGACAAAATTTTCGGTTCTAAAAACACACCCAGTGATACACAAAAGAAACATTATGCCGTACATTTTCTTTCAAGTCGATTAATTGTTCACGTCTTTTACGTAGGATTCTCCGCCTAAAGATCTGTGTTGTTGGCAACCGTCTCTCGAGTGTCATTATCATATCACTTATAGTTGACTTCATTCATCGCCACTCCCCATTTTACGATCTTTTGCAGAAAGGATATGGTGTGTGTGTGCGTGTACATTGAAACAAAAATACTGAGGATAGAAAAATACTCTCTTGCATTTCCTGGCTCCCAGGAATTTTCCGGTGATTTTAAGGAAAACGCCACGGCTTTGTAGGACCACGTTTCCCAGACAAAGGTAGCCGCCCTCTCTTTGTCTGCTCGTCCTCCGGCCACGAAATGGCGCGTGACAGGACAATTAAACATCAGGTCCCCTCCTCTGTACAGAAGGATTCCGAAATACCATCATAAAATATTCAAACCCCATCATCATCCTTCTTCACGTCACCTAAATGAAAATATGAATACTTTATGATGTGGCTATCGCACGCTCTTTTGTGACTACAGAATTCTATTGCAGAAAAATGTTATCACATTTGTGATAAAAACTTGTTCCATTAGAATTTTTTTTCAAAGAAGAATTACATTGATCTCATGGTATAGAAAAAGTCTATGTATATCTGTGCCATGTGGTCTTCAACAATACTCTATTACACTACAACATTCCTACACTAAAGAAAGTTATATATATATATACCTAAGAAATACTTGTATATGCATTTTACAAAGAATGCTTGTAGAACGTCGTTGATTTTACAGATGACTATATTGAACAAATCAATGATAAAATGACATACATGTAGCTTATATAACTAAGTTATGTATAAAATGTATTGTATGTTATCAGTATCAAAATGTATCAAAATGGATGCTTTCGCTTGACCAGGAGGCGCCGTCGTCGCCGTAGTCTGAGTAGGCATTGCCGCTGTACTGCCAGCCAGGTTCTCCGGGGCTAGCCTGGTGTCCCTGTCCCCTGTTCTCATCCGCTGTGATTCCGGAGTCTGTTCTCGGCCCTTCGCTCGGGCTCTCTACCGGACTGTCAAACGCGTTCAGCGTGTTCCTGAGAGGGGCATACCCCATCCTGGTTTTGTTCAAGGTGTCTTGAATCCTCTGTCTGTTCGCCAGTAGGTCAGTTTCCTTCTCAACTCCTGTAGCGCTCGCCGATTTCCCCTCCCAGCCACTCGGCGTCATGGAAGAACACTCCCACAGGTTTGCCGCCGTTTCTGACTTTCTTCTCCTCGTGTGGGGACCTTTGTCTGACTTTGATGAAGTTAAACCTACACGCTGGGCTTCCGCTCTTTTCGGAATTCGTGGTTTGAGCTTTGGGAGGTCGTCGAGCCGGGGTTCTTCTGACTTCCCCCTTGTGTCGTCAGGCTTGTTAAAAATGTCCACGGGAGACTCCCCTGGACTTCCTCCGTCAGGATATTTGGTATCTCTGTCAGCTAACTCGTGAGTGGACGCCGGGAGTTCAATGTCATAGTCATCTGGGATGTTAGGCACGGCTTGAAGGTGTTTCATCATCTTAGCCACTGTCCTCGTGGTTTCCATGACGGCAGACCTGGAGATGCCTTCCTGCCGTGCCTTTTTGGTCAGACTGGCCTGTAGATCGATCAACTGTTTCAAGATGGTGGCTTTGTCTTCCCGGTGGAGGTCTATCTCGTTCAGCATCTTCGCCATCTCTATCTTCAGATCGAACACCTCTCTCATCATGAGCTTTGTATCGTGCTGCCTGTTGGCTTTCAGGAGAACGATGCTCTTGCGGAGGGAATCTCTTTCTTTCCTCACCACGGGAAGTTCCCGGTGTAGTTCGTTCAGGCGGTGACGAAACATGACCACCTGCATGGAGAGGGCGTCCTTCTCGGACCGATGCGAAGCCGTTTCCTTGCGAGCGAGCTCCAAATTCGACTTCGCTGTCTCTGCTTCTTTCCTGATCTCGTCTAGATTTTCTGCGTACTTCATCTCTATCTCGGCGAGGTCGTTCCTTTTACGGAGTGTCTGCAGCTCAGAGTCTAAGACCGTGACTCGTTTCCTGAGGATGTGGATTTGTAAGGCCTTTTCCTGTTTGCTCTCTGTTGCGGCTGACTCGTCGTTATCACTCTGGGCCTCGAGTTGCTGCTTTGCCTGGTTTTCTGCGCAAATCTCCACTTTCATCTCGTCACACTCAGTTCGCAGCCGTTCGAGTTCTTTCTCCATCGCTCGTGTTTTTTCTTTGAGCTGTTCGGAGAGTTCCTTCTTATCTAGGAACCTCCGCTCCAGTATGTCCTTGTATGCTCTCAAGTCATCGTTCTCACTCTTCAGGTTTTCTAGATCCCTTTCCAAGTCCTTTAACTGGTTTGCGTACATCTCCTTCTGAAGATGGTTGTCCATTTTGCTCCCGTCTCCCAAGGCCCTCCTAAGAACATTCAGTTCCTTTGTCAGCTCAGCGTTTTCCATTTTGAGAACGTTTTCCCTGTACTCCAGTAGATCACACGTCTGTATGGCCTGGCTGTACTTACTCATGAGTCCCCAGGTGGCGACGGCCTTCTCCTTCTTGTGACGATTCTGTTTCTCCAGACTTTCCTCCATGCCCTGGAGCTGTTCTCTCAGCAGCTCCACTTCGTGAACTTTACGGCTTTTCTCGAAGATGATTTTCTCCACGTCGTCACACAGCAGCTGCTTATCGTACGTCAGTTCCTCCAGCTGTGCCTTCAGCATGTCGATCTCCCATCTCCTAGCCGGGGAGAGCTGGGATTCGGAAATAGTTGAAAAAGTGGTCGATCTTGGGACCATATCCTCCTCTGTCTGCGCACTTTTTTCATCCATTTCTGCGCTCTGTATTCCTTGTATCTTGTCTGCGATTTCCGTATGAAGAGCTACCATCTTTTTCTCCTTCTCTTGTATCTTTTGTTCCTTTTCCTCCAGAGATTCTTCCATCTTCCTCACTTCCTTCTCCAAGAGACGTTTCTCCTGTTCCAGCTCGTTGCGCTGTTTTCTCTCCTCCACCACGGCGTCCTTCAGGTGGCTCAACAGCCCATGTGCCTGTTAAGAAGTGAGAACCGAATCTTGAGTTGATTAATCTTCGACCCATTTCTGTCTCGAATCAAGATGACAGATCATTAGAAGTGCCGCAAATTAGGTCACTAAATGTGGGACTATGAAGACGTTACAAATCACCTTGAAAGTTGAACGGAAGGCCGACACAGTCAAGAACATGCCTGATACTCTACGTGCGGGTATAGCATTAGGAGTATATGTGCCCATTTTCACAGACATCTGAAGAAGTACAAACCTTTTCCTTCTGTGTCTGGAGCTTTTTCTGGAGCTCCGACTCGTTCGCGTCCTTTTCCTCTTGAAGAGCTTTCTTCTCCCCTTCATACTTCTGTACTAACTTCTCCTGCTTGTCCTTTAACTGTAACAAGACGTCGTTATAAATGATCTATAAAACATTATACCAACGATCCACATAACAAGTTGTCTTATTTTAGACTAACAATGAAAATCCCAGGCTGTGGTGTTTCCGTTAGGTGAATGGAAGGCATTCAGCACCAAGGACAGATACAGCTGCTATGTAAAATAACTGAAATAACTGAAGGGAATGCACCATGGACATCACATTGATATCACATTATTTGTCTAATATACACGGTTTTCGTAAACGTCTGGAACTTGAATAGATGAGTATATATGATTTAAAAGCAATATCTCTCATTAGCTTTTTAACATTAACTTTGCTAGGACTGGGGATGTATCTACGTTCTACGAAAAAATCACAGTGTTGCAAGTAAGGGCAATTTTTCTTGTCAAAATGCCTTGCGTTGCATTTTGTATAAAACATTAGGAATTGTAGGTATCTAGGCCTCCACACATTATAACCTAGCTGTGTCCTAACCGTTTCCAGCTCGCCGCTGAGCTCCACGTTCCTCTCCCGTTCTTCCTCCAGCTCCCTGACAATTCCCGCCAGCTGGGTTTTGGAGATCTCGTACTTCTCCCTCCAGGCGCGGACCACGTTCGTCAGGTGCTGTACTCTCTGTTTCATCTCATCAGGCTCACCGTGCAGCAGGTTAGCGGAACTGCCGGCTCCTGGGGGAGGGGAGGGGGTTTCTTTTATTATGTTTAACGGAGGGAAACATATTGTTTTTGCTCTGTTTCCTCCTCCTCTTCTTCTGTTCTACAAACCAATAGGGTCAATGACCTCAACTAGACGTCTGTTACCATGGTAACTAGTGTTGGGTCACAACATATTGCAATTTTATAGCAGGAGGAATTTATACTCCTGTCTGACCATATATATGAATGTGTTTGAGTAAGAAGTCACAGATCAGACCATATGCTAATGTTACCTTTTTAGTTAACGTTAGGATCTCCATTAGTGTTACATAGATGTCACAATTCACCCTAATTTCTGGAGTCTGTAAGGGTGATGATGTAATGCCCCGTGTGGCTAATACAGGATGGGGGTTCGCCAGGCCTCCATCCGAGCGATTTGTAGTGAATCACCAACTTCTAGAATCCAGATTTTGGACCATCGCACAACTAGGCATACCCCTACTCTTTTTTTCTAAAGGTGTGGTGGGTAACGTTTTTAACCGTGCGAGGGGTATGGCTCTCCCCAAACACGGGACTCTCATTTAGGGTGCAGGGTGATGGTGTTGAGAAAGTGTTAGTCCTATATGGCTGGAACAGGCCACAGTAATGATTGGTATTAATATAGTTATATTATACTGCGTTTTTGATGGATGTTGTAGGCTGGTGTGCCATTTTAAGTTTAATGGAAAGCATTCAGCACCAAGGACAGATATAACCATTCATTCCACGGGCGTTACATATGGAACTGCCTGTATGGTTCGTTTTCCATTTTAACGATATAAGACAAGGATATTAATGGAAGAGGGTAGCGTTATGTTGATGTACTGGTAAAAGTATCTATTTTGACAGATATTACCACTTTGTCTAGACTATGCGAGCTATCTGAATTCTTATCAAGGTGTCAATAGCGGAATTAATAGATTTAAGTAGGCAATGCGGCATCATATAATGAAGGTTATCGTATCAGATTATCTTCTTTCTGGAAACTAACTGTTGTTTATGAAACATGAAATATGGTTTTGCATGTAGGATTTCAGATCTAATAGAATATTCTCACGAAAGACAGCTCATGTAATCTCATAGAATTAGGGGCGTTATCAAATAAGCCTTTACTCAGAGTTTTAAGCCATGTATAGCACGGCACGTGGATATACAGTCATTAATTACCTATATAGAGGTTAAAAAAATGTCCCGTTAACGTTTATGCAAAAGTCTAACACATTCCAGTCTCTACAACATAATGTGTTTCACATTGGCTTTGTTTTGAATTGGGCCAATAGTAGCAAGAACAATTTAAAAAATCTTTGTAGGTTGTAGTAATAGCAAGAACAGATTCTATCTTTTTTTCCAACATATATATATAGTCACAATGCCGCCACCAACACAGTGTAGGTTACAGCAGTAGCAATAACAGTTTCTATCTAACGCTACATAGGTTGTAATCAAAATGATAAAAATACACCGTAAGATTGTTTCTTCTATGTTACGTACATGCCTAAGGATACTACGTGATAGAAATGCTGATCACGGCATATCAATTAACATTAGCACCGTGACAAAGGCAAAGTGCCACATATCATGTAACGTTAGAGCTAACAAGATAGAATTTGCTGTTATATTTTCTATAATGCAATCGTTAAAACATTGATCATATTGTAAAGATAAGAAAGACTACTTACCACTTGCCCTGCTCACCCTGCTTGGCCTTCTTACCGCAGACATGATTTTTGTAGAATCCTTCAATTCAGAACGATGTCTTCTGGCCTTTCTACTTCTCAATAGTATCTATGTGGGATATATAACCGGATACAGTTGGTTTTCATTCATTAGTTTTGACCATTACATAACACAATTTTCTTTACAGTTATATATGCTGTATAAACATAGATGTTATCTGTGACTAATCAAGTAAGATTTACGTTTGTTTCTACCCAAACGAGAATGACAAATTCCTGGCCTAGTCACAGGGTAATGACTCACATTACACACCCTCTCCGTATCCTAGCAACGCAGACGATGAAGGGTGTTCTTCCTCGATGACCGATTTCAGGTTTTTCCCGCGGGGTTCACTGAAGCAGCGCCATTTTGCGTCCGGAATGTAGACATTTTCCCCGGTGGACGTAGATATGGACGACACGAATTTTTAGGAAAACCTAGCGAGAATTCTTCGGACAGGCAGACGCACTCTGACACCTGTACTGTCGCCATGAGCCCTCATTAAATATGCAGCAGTCACTTAATAGTAAGGATGAGGGACAAAGTAGGCAGAATTCAGGCTGGAATTGCGTGCATGACTGGGTACATTCATCGCTATGTGATGCTCGGGATAAAGCATTACAGTTTGTAAGGGTGGACACAAATTGAACTATTCATCTTTCTTTGTCAGGCACTGTGTTTTTCTTCTATTTGTTGTGGCACGCAAGTGGACAAATTGTTATGAACTGTGTATCAAGAAGCAGTGTTGTCAGGTCTTTCGGGAAAGGACAATCCTATTCTAGACGTTCTGTGGTACGTCTTTCTAATGGCGTACATTGACCCCATCGCACATTGCGTCGGTCCAGTGTGCTCACGATACATTCCATTAAGTAATTTCTCCAAGCATGGTCCGTTTTAACGATGGTCAAACCAACTTGCAAATGATATAGCATGCGATTTTTTGGTGTGTGTGTGTGTGTGTGTGTGTATCGTACATCTAAACATATGAGCAGACATGTACGTGTGAATGTTTAGAATAATATTATAACCACCAATGATATTTGTTATGATATGTATGCACGCGGTGTAATCATCATGGCAAGAGTAATCGTAAACGTTATACGATATTCACGCTCGGTGCGGGCTTGACAGCAAAAGGTTATATCTCCATGGCAACGACTTTTGTTTGTGTCATGACGTTGAAACAGTCTTCAGAGAAAACAAGGAGGAGTGCCTTTTAAAAGCGTAGCTAGTGTCAGCCAAGACCCTCATGCGTTTTATAACTAAGCATAAAACAAGTAATAGTAAGAAAAAGATACAGTAAAATGCCACCACTCGACCCCATATAGCATGGATTATACAGAGTTTAACACAATATGAAAGGCTATCAAATATTAATGGCTGTACAGACCCCGACGATTATTACAAATGATCACCCTGTTAACCTTCTATTGTGGGGAAGGCAAAAGTCACGCAACGGCAACAGGTTCTCAGAAGATAGCAGGAATTTTACTGTATATTGTACACACATGCTGCTGTAAAAAGGAAAGGTCTCTTTCAACACGAAAGGCAGGGCTTAAACATCATAACTTGTATTTCTTGTATTTCTACCTGGTGATAGTTGATGCTTGACCCTTGTACTCTGATATCTTGATCTATGAAAGCTAAGTCTATGGGTTCCTCCCACCGTAGTTCTTCATTCTTTCAAATACACAGAATTCCGTTTACAGTCTTCAAATCGTTTATTGCATTTGCATTACAGAAATGAAAGAAATAAAACACACATAGGCCTATGTGAAGAGCCTATGCTGTAGGGCTGATACAAATTAGGATTTGAACATCGTATATTGAACAGCATAGGCCATAGTAGAAGAGAATACAATTGTGTCAAACAAATGAACAATCCACATTTGATGCTACTGCTAAAGCACTGATGACATCGACAATAATTAGCACTACACACATATTTGCATTTGTGTATGGTTATATATAGAACCTTAAGAAAGTCCATGTACGTTTATATCATAAATTAAGGTATTGTATAAAGATTTATCCAAATGCAGTTTGATAACTTCAAAAGCGACAATAATCAATACTAAACACTACTTTTGCCATAGGCTTGATTTGGATGACGCAATGCAATGTAACATTATACTTTTTGGTTTCTATTTACAAACAAACAGTGTCAAAAATGTTACTAATGAAATTACTAGGCTAACCCATGGGATATTAGAAAAAGCTTCACAAAATAAGATCAATAGCGCCAAACAGGCTTTTGGGGCTTTTTCCGAAGCGGTGGAAGTTGCTTCTTCCTCCCCTCATTCGCTCCATGGTGCCACAGTTCGCTGGTGCTGCCCCTGCCGGAATCCTCTTCCGTTTGTGTCTGGGCTTCCTTGACCGCTTCGATGACGTCATCGATGCTGTCTCGCAACTGTCTCCTGTCGTTGTCTTCTTCTTCTCCCTCTGAGTCCGAAGACTCGTCGTCAAAGTCTTCTCCTGTTCCAATTTTTCTAAGAAATGCCAGCTCCCTTTCTAACTCCTCATTCTCCTTCTCCAGCACGTGATCCTTGTACTTCAGCACATCTAGTTCATGTTCGGCCTTACGGTACTCATTCAGCAGAGTCCACGCCATCACGGATTTCTTCTTTCCCTTCATTTCTTTCTCTTCTGGATTGTCCTTGATCGCGTTGAGGAGCGAGTCTAGAAACTCGACTTCGTGTTCCTTCCACGACTTGTCTGACGCCATGCAGGCGGCCTGCTCGTACAGTAAGGCCCGCTGTAGCTTTTTGTCTTCAATATCCGACTTCAGCGCTTCTATTTGAGCATGTTCCTGGGACGTCGGGTCCACGGATTCGAGTGACTGATCAAAGTCAGTCTGCGAATCTCCGTCTTTGCTCTCTTCTGCGTCTTTGCTTGCCTGGATTTTCTGTAGATCTTCCTCCTTTTCCTTTATCAACTTGTCTTTGTCATCCAGAACTGTGCGTAATTCTGCCACTTGAGATTCCAGTTTAGCTTGCTTCTTCTTGAGCTGTTCTTTGCGTCTGCTTCTACTCTCCACCGCTGTCCGCAGGTTGTTTATAATGAACATGACGCTCATTTGACCTGACAGCATGGTCCCAAGGTGATTGTCTGCTGAACCGAATTTAAGACTTTCCTGGACCCCATCTTTCAGGTGTTTCTCTATCAAAGCGGCACGCCGTTCCTGAAGGTCTGCGATGCCCTTGGACAGTATCTCTCGCCGTTCGCTGTTCTCATCTGTCTGTTCTGTCTCGTCGTCTTCAGCTGTTGTCTTCTCTGTACTTTCCTCTGTATCTTTTGTACTATCGTCTTCAACTCCTGTCTTCTTTGCATTTTCGTCTGCATTTTCGTCTGTCTGTTCTGCATCTTGCTCAGCACTTGTCTTCTCTGTTCCCCCTTCCGGCCTATCTGACATATCTTCCTCTACACGTGACTTATCTGACTCCGTGCTTTCCTCAGTTTTTCCTATCTTGTCATCCTCTTCACCTGCCTTCTCCTTACTTTCCTGTGTTTTGCCTTTGTCTGTAATCTCTGAAGTGTCTCCTGTCTCGTTTGTCTTATCTTTATCTTCACGTATCTTCTCCTGGTCTGTACTTCCCTCTGTCTTTTCTGTATCTTCTTCTTCACTTCCTGTCTTGTCGTGTTCTGCACTTGTCTCCTTTGTATGTTCCACTGTCTTCTCTGTGCTATCGTCTGTATTTCGGCTGTCTTTTCTGTCTGATCATCCTTTGCCTGTTTCATTTTATCTTCCTCTTCACTCTTCCCCTCTGTATCTTCTTTTCCTTTGACGTTGTCTTCGATGCTGTCAACTTTGCTGTCTTGGTGTTCATTGCTCTGAGCATTAGCTGTTCCACCGTGTTCCTCTTCCGTTCCCCTATCTTCTGACTCCATCGTATCTTTTTATTCAGTTTCGTCCCTCTGTATACAGTATTTCGGTCTTTCCTATTTAATGTCCGCACAGACAAGACGATGCTATCTTGGGTTCTTTTACTACAAAGTCATGAATATCATTGATAGTCTGTCAATAAAATAATTGCACTGTAATGATCTCTTGAAGTACGACTGGACCAACCTGCAAACAAACACAAACATAGCCATTACTTGGAGTTTTAAACAAGCTTGAAGGATTAAAAACATGTGAGGAAATGATGTTAGTATTTTCGACGTGCCATTAAAACTAGACAACGTCAAATTCATCATCGTTTCGTAAAATTTTACAGTGTTGCTGGGATTCTCTGTTCTGTTGTTAGTCTTTCTTTACTATAAACGAATCATAACGTCGGCCAAACACCTTTGTTGAAAAGATGAAAAGTGCATACCTTTTATCCTTCACCTCTCAGTAGCGGACGTTTGTCCATCATCTTACAGCCCTGTGAGACGGAATAAGTCCATACACACACCGGTTGATTAGCAATGTTCTAAATGTGTCCTTTTCTCACAAGGCCTGCAGTAACGGGTGATCCTCGTTTTTCTCTGGTGTGTTCATGAAACGCAGTGGCGATCTACTTCCACACAGTCAAAGTTTTAGCTGCTGTGTTTATCTGACACAAACATGACATCAGGTCTCCCGTTGCTATACAACCGGCACACTAAATCATCGAGAACAAAGCTTGGCTACATTAAGTTGATTGCTTTTCTCCGCGACACCCAAGGTCTATTGAAACATGTGATTAGCCTGTGGTTATGACGCATGTTTATTGTGCCTGTATTGTCTAACGCCTTAGATACTGAGTGCACGCATGTTATTAGCTGTGTCAGTAGTCATCAGAGCTTCGTCTTGCTTGTTGTTGCATCTTTTGTCAGACGATATTCTTGGTGACTAGCCCAGGGAACGAACAAATGTAAGTATTGTAAGTGCTCGATTCATTTCCAAACCCAGCGTACCGAGTCTAGTGTGTGGGACTTGAAGACATGTAATTGCTAAGTATATCTCTGGTTTCTAGGCGTAGTTGACTTTGAAATACTCATTTTGTATAGTGACAATGGTCTATTCATTGTTTTCCAAAAATACTATATAGTACATGTCTTACATGTGCCGTGCCTGCTATGTGTTATAAAATCATCACCACTACACGACTACCAAGGCCAGATAATGAAGTATTTACTTCACGATACCTTATACCTATATAGCAATTGCATTTTCAATATTTATTGATCTACACATTTGTCTGCCCAACAACAGAACGCAGATAAGGGGAACAAGGTCTTACAAGATAAGAAAGAGAGCAGGAAAGAAGATGGAAGAGGATAGCAAAGACAAAGATGGCCAAGTCCAAGAAGTTCATACTGAGTCAAATGAAGACGGAAAAACGAAAGTCTCTGAAGAAAACAGACACCGATAATACAGATAGGAAAAATCGATAGAAAGCGGGACAGACGAGAACGAGCAAAAGCAGATAATCAAGACGATTCTCAAGACAAAGACACCAACAAAGAGGAGAAGAATGTAGATGGAGACAAAGATGGCAAAGACGATGTTCATGAAGATGTTGCAGACCAAGATGATCCAAAAGACACACCAGCAGAATCTCAGGATCAGCCAATGGGGGACGAGATAAATGATAACGTCACTGAAGACAAAAACGAAGACAGTTTAAAGAAGGATGCGGATGGAAACGAAAATACCGAAGACGGTATAGATGAAGAAAACCAGGGTCAGGAAACTCACACAGAACTAGATGACAACGCACAGGAATCTCAACAAATAGAAAACGAGCAAACAGATGATGTCTCTCAAAACAAAGACATGGAGGCAGAGGAAAAACAACCTGGAAACGAAGATAGCAAAGACGAAAACGTTCCAGACCAGGGAGCCGAAACAGAACTATCAGACACACCACAAGAATTTCAGACAAAAGAAGACGAGCAGACAGTAGAGGATGAGAAAGATGGTAGTGTCTTACAAGATAAAGAAAGAGAGGAGGAAACTGAAAAGGAAGGCATTGTGATAGAAGGGGATAGCAAAGACAAAGATGACCAAGTCCAAGAAGTTGATACTGAGCCAAATGAAGACGGAAAAACGGATGACAAAGAGGAAGAAAGTCAGAAGGATACAGATGGAGACGTGGGTAGTACAGACGATGCCCAAGACGACGTTCAAGATCAAGGACCTCCTACAGAGCAAAATGACGACACGACGCAAAACTCTCAACCTACAGCGGAAGAGAAGAATGATGGCGTCTCTGAAGACAAAGGAAAAGAAGAGGGAATTGTGAACAAGGATGCAACTGAAATTGAGGACAGTAAACAGCCTGAGGGTATCAATGATGATGTTCAAGACCAAGAAGCACTTACAGAGCCAACCGACATAACACAAGAAACTAAGCAAGTAGAGGAAGAGAAAGATGATAGTGACTTACAAGGTAAAGACACTGAAACAGAGGAGGAAAGTGAGAAGAAAGACATGGAGACGGAAGAGGATAGCAAAGACAAAGAAGTCCAAGAACTTCATACTGAGCCAAATGAAGTCGACAAAACGGATGTAGTCTCCCCAGACAAAGAGGAAGAAAGTGAGAAAGATACAGATGGATTAGAAGACATTAAAGATGTCAACGGTGAAGGTATTCAAGACCAAGAAAGTCTACCAGAGCCAAGTGCCACAGCACAGCAGTCAACAGACATGGAAAGCGTGGACAGCAAAGACCGTGTAGAAGAAAAAGACCTTGGAGATCACATGGAGCAAAATGACTCAACACAAGAACAGCATTCGACGGAAGATGAGCAGTCTGTATCCCATGTGGAAGATGAGCAGTCTGTATCTCATGTGGAAGATGAGCAGTCTGTATCTCAAGTGGAAGACAAAGAGGAGAAAAAGCAAACAGGACGATACATACGGAGATGAGGGTAGTAAAGACGGACAAGAAGAAGAAAAGTCCGAACATCAAGGAACAGCAGAGACAAACGAAGAAGACGGTGGTACCAACGTTGGCAAAGTCGATGTTGAAGAAGAATCAAAGGACGCAGGCCTAGCGGAGAATAACAACACCGCAGGCTCAGACATAAAAGTAGACGTGTCCGAGCAGGAAGGTACAAATGTTGTGGAGAACGATGTAGTTGGTGAGAACCGGGAAGAAGATACAGAAGAGACACAGACAAATAAAGATGAAGATACTAGTAGTCAGGAAGAGAACAGTGTAATTGACAGGGAAACTGACGAAGAGAAGAAGGTATCACATGACGAAGCTGATGATGGGCTAACCCAGGATGGCGAAGTGAACGTAGAACCTGATGTACCCAACAATGACAGTACAAAAGATGAAGACGGGGAGGGGCGCGGCGAGGATACGTCAGATAAGAATCAACTTGCTGTGGAAGAAAATAACTCCACCAAGGGTGGCACAAGTGACCTGAACAAAGTACAAACCGACGACAACGAAGAGAGAGCCGTAGAAAGCACGGAAGAGAGAGAAGATCACGAAGTCATTGAGGAAGACCAGGAGTCATCAGATGAAGAACAACAGACTGAGGTGTTTGACGAAGAGATGCGGAACATAATTGATAAAACCAAACAGGCCAGCCCACATGAATCTGAAAAGAACCCTGTGGTCAAAGTACAAAATCCTCGGGAAATGGAGGATGAAATAGAGTATGAAAAACTGGCACAGGAGGAAAAATATGTAGCTATGCTGGAGAAGGAGAGGGATAGTCTGATAGCCATCATCGAGCGATACGAGGGCGAAAAGAAGGCCAAAGCGTTCAAGAGAGGTTTTGCGAAGTCAAAATATGGGATGGCCATCACTGCACACAAAGTGCACGCCAGGAACACATCAGTTGAAATGAAGAAAAAATATCTCCATGACGCAGCAGCTACAAATGAAGCGGAGCTAGAATTGGCCTTAGTTGAAATGGCGAAAACAGAGTTGGAGGAAGACATTTTGAAGAAGGACAAGAAGATATCGGAGCTGATAGATATGATAGGCACAGACGCTGGCACGCAGAATGAGTCAGACAGCTGGGCGGTGGAACTGTTGGAGATCGAGTTAGTCGCCGCAAATCGTGAGAAGCAGCTCATCGCCGAACAGATTGCAGAAGCAGATGAGCAGAGCAAGCGGAAGGATGAGGAACTAGCGACACTGCGAGGTCGCCTGCAGGAGCTGGCAACCGTGCTTCATGACAAGGAGAGAGAGAACAGGGAGGCGACGCTGAAGCTGTGGGGTGCCCTGTGTGAGTACAGGGCAGCCATGTCTGCTGTGGAAATCACGAAAAGCAAAAGCGGTCCCTTTTGAAGAGTGAGCACGAGACAGACTGACACGCCAAAGTGAGGTCAAAACCAGATGCAAACAACTGTATCACTCATCACTCATAGATATCTATACCAGTAAAACTTAATTGTAGGGAAATCTTGCGATTGGAGTAATGTGAAACACTTGTGGATCGAGAAACAGCATGCTTAAAAATCTTTATAATTTTTGTCATAACATTTGAAGCATTTTTGTCCCTTTGAGAGCTTGAGACAATGTATTTATCTCACATTATGGAAGGCTTTTTTGGGGTGTTTATTACATACATAGGGACATGGAGTTATTAAAGCGATCCTTACATAATAGATGTTGTTTCCGTAGTTCTTTACTTCTAGATCTGTTATATAGTTTGAAGTAGATTTGACGGTGAAATATATACCAATCATACTTATTTGATATGTATATGTAGTTAGTGTCATAAGGTCTGTGACGTCTCAGAAAGCACTTAAGTATGACATGGGCTCTATCAGGTGTGCATTTAGATTTAGGTATATTGACAAGGTGTTTATATATGCAAGAATACACCCCTTCAAGTACTTGTATATGTGCCGATGGTCCGAGCCAAGACTTTACAGTGTCTTAGTATGAAGACAAAAATCTTTACACATAACAAAAATAGTGATGTATTTTCAATTTATAGTTCGCCTGTACATTTCGACAATAATTAGAAATGGCCGCCCGGAGAGATTTAGCATGTCAGGAGAGGCCTGTGCTGTGGCTAAATGGCCTCGTATTTGAGTCCAACCGGTCCATGGCGACACTCTGTCCCATAGTGTCAATCAATCAATCAACCGCAAGCATCAGGGCAGATGCATGGCGGCTGCAGACATGTCCCTCCAGGATGTTCTGCACCGTTAGTTGAGACTCTTGAGCCAGCCGAGTTCGCCTACCCTTGGTGCTGGGCTGTTTTCCCAGGTCCTACACAGGTCCGAAATAACAGGAGCCTAGCTACGCGGACGCGGAGTGGCTTCCCGGACCGGTCCCTTCCTCTGAAGTTACTAATGATAATTGGTGAAATAAATAAAAATTAGTTCGACTCAAGCAGTTCATTCTCTTATTCTTACTTTGTTGGTGACTTTAAATCGTTTCAGTATTACGAAGATCTCGTGGATCGCGCGGGCGCTACTCGGGGCGGTTGAAGTTTTCCGCCCCCGGCTTCAACCACGCAACCGGTCGCTGTAGGCACCTGTTGTGTGTTTTGCGCGCTGAGAAGTGTACCGTAACCGCGCAAAACTCCTACCGAGACATAGTTAAGTCAGGCAGCGGAGAGATACTAGTCTAAAGGGACCACAGAGCCTCGAAGAGAGCCCGCCCTATCTACGATAGGACTCGGGATACAGGCAGAAGCAGGGAATCGGGATAGAAGCAGGGTTTCTTTCTGAATAGAAACTTAAGTGATAAGGCAGACGTTTCATTATTCTTTAATCCTCATTGATTTAAATAGAGAAATTCAATGCACTAAATTAAGGAATAACAAGGAAAGATTGTAGCTTTCTGAAAGAAATTAATGGTGGGGAGGGCGCCAGGAAAGGCGTTAGCTACACAGAGGGCGAGAAAAACCAAAAATTTACCGAATAGTTGATTGATCCAAAATGTAATGTTTGCATTATTACGGATATTGTAAGGTATATCAAACTGAGAAACACTCGAGACAATATTTTGTCAAAAGCATAACCGCAAATTGCAATTCAGGACTGTGTAAAGTAAAGGTGTATTGTGTTAAAACCTGTTAAAACCAACTGCAATGCTGTCATCTATTGAAATAAAAGATTAAAGGAATATCTTTGAGGTCGAATGATATATTTGTAAGGCAAATAATGGTATAATGATAATGGTGTTGGTCTATTACGTTATAAATCTTAGCAAAGAAATGAAAAATTATGATGATTCATTAACAAATGAGATCACACCTGTGTCTAAGCTAAACTGATATAATTACTTAATTGACAATATGCAAATTCTGGTGATCTCTTGTCAGGTGCTCAGACCACGCTGCGGGAAGAAGGCCACTGTTGCATGGCAGGGAAAGAGCTTCGGTAAAATTCGTCTTGGAAGGCGCGTTACGCACGTTTTAAGTGGTGAGTCGCAGTTAACATTGTCCTTTACATAGTCGTTGCTATTGAAACCGAACGTATTGTGATGAAGTGAAGCTAAAACACAGAATGGTGTGAAGTATTTGTGGCGACCGGGTCAGAGGGGTTTAAGCCTGTACTTAGTAAAACGGCCGTTAAGGGGCGCTTTTTCAGAGCCGCAAGTTTATTCACCTTTTACTACCTTATTCAATCAATATGTGCTGTGCTTAAATGTTGTTTAACTAATGTTTGAAATGCATTTCATGTGTTGTAATGGTAACCGTTCTGAAATGAGGTATTTCATGTCTGATTCAATTTGCCATTGGCTATGATAGTATGATGTTTCTTCTGTAAACATGTGTGTTAACTTTTCATATTGATTGTTTTGATGTATATTCTATGTGCTATGTATTAACTGTTATATGTGATTTTCTATGACCATGATATTCTATGTGTACCTTTTCTTGAATGTTCTATTAAACATTAAGCATAAAGCTCAAATCAAACCCCAACCCAAATCAGGTTTTCAGAACTTTAACAAATGATCAGTGACTATTGCAATGTATGATCATGCTCTGTGAGTAGTTATATTTAACCTGTGATCTTTCTTTACACCTTAGGCTTGACATTGTGGGACTTGTCAGCTATCCTGTGTTCCTGTCCATATTCTTGGAGGACCCGCCTGTGTTTCTGAGGGACCTGTCACCTATCCACGAAACAAGAGAACATCGGACTTGACTGTGAGTCTACTTTCATTTATGAACTCTTTCAAAAATTGGGTCTGCATGCTGCGATGCATAATCAGCCGCTTTAGTTTTGCACAACGGGACGCTGGGTTGTTCTATTCACCATTAAACGTAATGTGTGTAATAAAACATCCAGCCTGTACAATTAAGTGAAGCGTAATACGGGGTCGTTGCTCAGCAGAATTTTGCACCTTGCTATTTGCATAATTTAAAGTCGAACAACTCTGATTTAATGTCATTGAGTGTAAATCATGGTCACTGCCTTATAAAAGTTAGCGTGCTAAGCGTGATCGGGACCTTCCATGCAGACCCTTAAAAATGACAATAAAAGATGTTGGGAAAGGGCATGTTTGCGATCTTCTGAATTTTTTGTTCTAAATGCCATTGTTGAAACTCATATAGGCCTGGCCCTCCCTGCTATTTGTTGTCATTTCTGAAAGAGTTCACATTCCTAACTACTAGTAATACCTAGTTTAAGGTTGTGACTAATATTTTATTGCAAATATGACGGAGAACACAGTACATTTTCCTATTGAGGAGAGCACTTTTAATAATTGTTGTTTCATTCTGTATAGCAATGGGATATGTTTTCAACAGCATTTGTGATCAAACTGTTTTCCCTGATATCTTCTTCATTATGATCCACATCCACCCTTTTCAAAAATATTTCTATTACAACAATTGTCCTTCATGTGAAGAAAAAAATCTATATGGTGACACAAAACAATCGATAAAGCAATAATTAACAATGTTAAGGCAAATAAAAGCATTCAAAATGAAAAATTATGATAAAGTGAAGAGACATTTTATAATGATCATGAATTCTAGCTGTAATGTTTACTGGTGAAGATAACATGCACGGTCAAGACTTGGCATTTGTTGGTATCTGACAAAATTGTTTTCTGATTTTTCAATGTATGACAGCTAAGCAAGGTTTGTAACTTTCAAGGAAGGTCCAGAAGATATTCTGTTCAAAACGACTACAAAACTTTATTTTGATTCCCTCTTTTTGAAGTCCTTTCTGAAAAAAAATAATCCTTTGTGTGAAGAAATGACAATCCTCATGATGAAGCAAGCAATTCCTTAGAATTTTAAAAGCCAAAAAAATGAAAAATTCAATGATGAATAATGCAATTTTTAAGCACTCAAACACAGTCAAACATGGTTAAAAATTAGATGAAACAAAGACAATTTTGTGATGATCATGACCAAATGAACAATTCTTTGATGAATCATAATATCCACTCTAACCCGAAATGCTCTAAATTTCTAAAATATGTATAAACATGTGATTTTACATACTTTGCTATATATTTCCACTGCAACGTGCTTGCAATTATGAATTTGCAAAAGGCACACAAAAAACATACAAATCTAGACTCTGATTTACCTAAAATTATATGTGTTTGTCTTTGGTTGTCAAATAACAAGCAGGATTATTCATATCAACAAAATATACAAATTCAAAACACATTATAGGTGTTCCACAAACTCTTTTGAAGCAATGATGGAGTCGATTTCTGGGGAAATACTTTTGGTCTCATAATGACTGTTGGAAATATGTCCTATTTCTTTACAGGAAATAGAAAAAACAATGTTGTGCTTTCTTTCTGTATAGAGTGAAATGTACTACAGGTGAGCTGTGTGTGATGTTTGAAAGGGAGGAATTGATTTACGGAATCAGCAAAACAAAACTCTTTTTTTGCAAGGATTAATAATTGTTACTCTGTAGCTGCTTTTAACATTTTTGTAACTTTTAATGTAGCCAAGTCACAGATAGTTTATAGGTCAAGTATAACTAAACTGTACTTAAAGTGATAGGTTGATTAAGTCCAGTGACCAGCAGGTATGGCCTTGACAGTGGGTCAGGATCTCGTTTCTTGGTCCCGGTGGTCTCTGCAACAGATAGAACATTTATACGAGGATCACATACTCTTAAGTGACTTTCTAAGTTGAAAGTAGTCATTTCACAGGTAGACAGACTGTTGTAAGGCTAAATTAGATGTAGTCAAGTCACAGTGAGAGGTCCAGTGACCAGCAGGTATGGCCTTGACAGTGGGTGAGGATCTATTTTCCTGGTCCCAGTGGTCTCTGCAAAAGATCAACATTAATACGAAGATCTTTCTGAGTTAAAAGTAGTGTGCTAACTCGTTTTAGAGAATGAACA